GCGAGAGTCGCATCTAAATTATTTCGAGCTTACTGCTCCTCAAGAGCTGAAACTTCTTCTTTGGATAGTCTGGGCACTATACTACAGAACCTGTGCTTTGCAGCCTCCCAGTCTTTTCCTGGCCTTAGTTACGAATTTTCAAACTATCGTGCTCATGCACGTTTTTGACGTCGTTCTGGACGGCGCTCAAGCGGTTTTTTTCGCGGGAAAAACTGCGAAAGAGGTAGGAAGTAAGCTTTTTAGTCGAAAACATCTTTTGTAGTTCAAGAATGTCATTTTTTTCTCCGTGCAAAAATTTGTGTCGCCTACGGGAATCGAATTTGCTGGCCTGAAGTATGCCTAAAAATTCAAAAACTTGCAGAATCTCAAACATTATTAAAGGTGTGTATGTGTGCTACAGATGATGGGCGCACCCATTGGCCTAGAAATCCTGCTTCCGAAACCTCGCTGAAGTTCTCACGCAGGTGTTTTTTGAGATCGACATTCGTTTACGCAGGTTACCGCGAGGAATGTGGGCAGGGGAGGTAAGGGGGTTAAACGGGTGAGGGTGGGGGGGGGGGGTCGTAAATGAGGGTCCCGGATCGCATCAGCACGCTTGACACTGCTTGTCGGACACCTTTCCGAATGGGGTCAGAGGATGGTGGAATAGCTGCACCGTCATTGTACAGCCTCATAACATTCGGTTAATGCGCTTACATGAACTGGGTGCACTCTTTGCTTGGGTCCGAATCGAATAAATCGATCAATCGAAAAAAATTCAAATTTTTTTGCACATTCGAGATTTGAAACTCGGGTTTTCCATTTTTGATTAACATTCGAGACGAATAGTCAAGATGCGGTTTCTGTTCGTACTGTTCCCGTACGATTTCTTGATCTAACACGAACCTCGCAAGTAAGATTATTTATTAGCAACACAAAGCACATTGAACTGACTAAACACGTTAGAAATATACCAATCAAATAAATCCTAGAAAATTGTCTTGCCTTACCTTGACCTGTTATCGGGCTCCTCACCTGAGGGACGAGGCTGGTTTTCCCATCGTACGTGCAGCCCCCCGACTTCCCTTGGCTCCCCCTTTTAAGTAGTCTTGCCTTTCACAAAACATAAAGATAAAGAAAGATCTCAAAACATAAGGGTAAACAAAGGGTAACATCCCACCCTAAGGCGCCTCTGCGTTCGAGCAGTTCTTTGGTAGTTTTCTTTGCGTTTTAAGTTTTGCTCACAAGCTGTTGACAGACATCCTCCGCAGGTTTGCCATCTTCTCGAAAGCCATTCGTGGTCTTTACGCTGGGTCCTCCTTGATGGGTTCACTCACAACTTGTTATAAGCTCCTCCAACCTGTGATCGTCAAAAACAACTTCCTTCCTTCTTGCGGCACTGTGGTAGACTTTTCTTTCCAACTTCGATGAATCGTTGGAAAAAGATTGTGATTACCACAAAAGGGTGGAACTGTTGAGACATCAAGCAAGCTTCACCTTCAGTTGAGGAAGATGAGGTTGATCGCCTGAGCAGTTCTCTAAGGCAGTTTTTATGTCCACCGCAATTTTTATCTCTTTACCAAGGTAGGTTTCCATGGGGGAGTGGTGCGGCAGGAAGAAGCCTATCGAGACGGTTGCCGTTCTCCAGCCCGTTCCGAAACATCTTTATCCTTTTCTAAGAGCCCGATTTTCGCGCTGAGTCGTCCACGGTCAACTCATAGAAGAACTTCTCGTTGCAAACACCTCTATGTTTTCACAAGAAGTCAGTTCTAATTTGTCAGAAGAGTGATGGGAGTACCAGATAGTGCTGGAGAGTCGTAGTAAGTGACGGTGCTGTTGGTGTACTGCTTGGAAGATTATCAAGATTATCAGCTACTCAGACATTCGCCATTGACCCGCAGGACAAAACGAGGTGTAATCACGGAATGCCTGCGCAACTCCCGAAACCGTTGCCGCGACAAAATTTGTTTCGGGTCAAAAGTGCGCGACAAAATCAGGTGTCCCGACCGACACATTCCGGACAAAATCGGAAACCTGCGGGAGACACCATAATGTTCCGATAGTTCAGAGCTTGCGGCCTACGCTCTTATCAACGGATTTCTGTGTCCTCTATGCCTTCTCCACGCCTCCCTCTTCATTTGCCTTGTGCCCTTGATCTCTTTGGGTCTCATTTCTCACCCTGTTTTTTTTTCGCTCCTAAAACCTAATCAAACGTCAACAAATTTATTAACAAATACTGCAATCTTCTCGAGCAGGCTTTACAATGGAATCGAAAATGCTTCAATGACGGCACGCTTTTTTTGAAATTCATTTATAATACCAGGGATCATATAAAACAATAAATCACTTTTGATGGAAGAAGCGCGGCTTTTTCGGGCTCAAAATGGTAAGAGCGGATGTTTGCGCTGCAAAAGTATAGTCAGTATATCGCTTCTTCTATCAGTGTGAGAAAACTCACAGTGCTTTCCGTATTGCTATTCCTCCATAACCGCTCCAAAACACTCTTGCCTCCGAGAGTTTGTTGAAAATTCCTCGCGGCGTCGTCCTCTTCTGCTAGGGACATCGACCATCTAGATTCTACTGCACAGAAGGTCTTCCGAGAACATACATATCTGTTTGGATTTCGGCTATGTTCATCTGGGGTACGCAGAAGTTCGAAATCGTTATTCCGTAATCGCAACAGTAGTAGAAGAAAAACATAAACTTGACATCTTGAGGAGGGAACCTCAATTTAATATCAGTGAACTACTAAAATCACATTGTTATAAAGAGCCTCCCACCTCTAAAAAGCCAGCATGAGGGGTGAACATGAACTTAAAACTGCCGGCGAATTGAGCATCGCACACTGCGAAAAGCCTGCAGTTTTCTACGGTGCACCAATAATGATAAACCTGGATTTTGTGTGACAGAGACAATGAGAGAGGAACTTTCTTGGAAGTTGAGTTGAATTGGAACTAACGACAGAATGAACTCAGGAATTTGGTACTCGTTTGAACATGCGCCCGCGCTTTGGGACAAAATCGCCCCAAAATTGGGACAAAACTGAAAGATGACTCTCGCCGGTGTACCGGATTTTGGTGCGACTACCCATTTTGTGGGCGGATCTCCTGCGGGAGTCAATGGCGAGTGTCTGAGTGGCCGGTCTCATACGGATCAACAAGATGGATTCGGTGTAGAGCTTGAAAATGTCTTGAAGCTAATTTTCCGTTCTTCTTTGAGTACTATCCCAACTCGGTACACTGCTTTTAATATGATGTGCACTTGCCATGAAGTTCCTGAAATGTTTCCGCACAAAAAATTTGTAATCGAACCCAGGGTTCCAAACGCTGCACGTTTTGGGAAGGCAAAACAATCTTTGCGAAGATGCGGAAGGATTTACTGGTACACCTGCGTGCTATTGCGTGCTGCTCACAATTTTGTCGGCAAGATATTCTGAGGTTTCTGACAGTGGCGGTCCCAGGATTTCGGACGGGGGGGGGGGGGGGCGCGGAAAACACTCCGAAGAAATTTTAGGGGTACTTCTTAAAATTTTTGCGGGTCCCCAACCCCTGAAATCTGGAAAAAGGGGGCGTGGCTGACGCCACGCCCCCGAAAAAAATTTTTTTATAAGGCTAATTTGAATTTTAAAAAATTTAAAAAATTTTTTAAATTATTTACAAAAATAAACAAGTCATTTGCACAATTTTATAACCCATGTAGGTAAGTTTCAAAAATTTCGCGACCCATTCTCGGGGGGGGGGGGGGCGCTCTGAAGTTACATTTGGAGATTACATTCCAACTAAATAAAGCCTTATGGGTACCTTGAAGAATATTCACCTCTCGCAGAGCTCATCTTGCACGGATTTGGAATGTTTAAATAGTCAAATAATCTACCAAAGGCATTTGATTTCAACTATTTGAAGGTCTGATAGGTGAAAAGGCAGATTATTCGTTTCTTTGCGTGAATGAAAAAAACTCGTTGGAATATTCGTATAATTTTTTTAGCAGCACGACAAACATGATCACTTTCTTGGCAAATTACAGAAAGTGAAGGCTCGAATACGCTGTCCAAAACTTACCAAAATTTTGAATCAGCGTCTACTCTGTTATACACAACGTAATGGTGAGCGATTTTTACGTACCTTATATTCAGACTTCATTTTAGTCATATTTATACAAAAATGAAGACACGATTAAATCAGAAAATGATTATCGGATTTCGGAAGTAGTTCTGATGAAATATTGGAATGCGGAATTCAGAAAGATTTCGTAATTTTTGGGACAGAAACTTTTCCGGGACGTGGCTGCCGCCGCCCCCTTTTTCTAACAAGGAAAGCGTGTCTAGTCGAATTGGTCTTTCCAAATGAGACTCATACTGCTTTGAAGAGCATCAAACGATGATTCCAAATCTGCTTTCGAATCTGCCAAACGCCTCTGAACGCCGAGTTATGCTCGTTTTTTAGGTCAAAAATTTGAACGCAAAACTGAAGCAAAATCCCCCAAACTTGCCTAAATGGTCCAGTGTCAAGTATCAGGGCAGTTTATGCAATGGATACATTTTGTCTAATATGCTAGTATTTAACATTGCTTTATCTGAGCGCTGGAAAGACTGTAACAATCAATTTTACCTAGATTCTGCATTCATTTTTCGTCCCGGAAAATGGTCATAACTCGGCGTCCAGAGGCACTTGGCAAATTTGGAAGGCAGATTTGGAATCACCGTGCAAAACCCTTCAAAGCAGTGTAGGTCTCATCTGAAAAGGCCACTTCGACTAAACACGCTTCCCCTGTAAGCCTTTTATAGCCGCTCAAAAATTCTTGAAAATATCCCAGCGGCAAGCCTGCATTCGACTCCCCCTCCTCGATTTCTTGGATCCTCTCTAAAATTCAATGTACTTGATTTAAGCTTCACTCTTCTAGATCAGAGTTGACTGTACAAAGGTTTTCAAAATCTTGTTGTACTGCTCTTTGGATCAGTAGATATTCTAAGCTTCTATCGATGTAATTACTGCATGTTACTCAATATGAAAGCGCTGGTGGCAACACAAATAAGAATAATTTATTACAAACGCCTAAAGAAACAGCCTGTGCTGTGATAAAAGAATGGAAATCAATTCCAAGTGAAAGTGGCAGAGCATTGGGCAATATAAATGGGCGAGCGAATATTCTGTTGAAGAAATGTGATATAGGGCGAAAACTAGTTTTGCAGGCAGTGAGATCCACAGAAACGTCCACTGCGTTCTACCATGGCATCGATGAGGTTGTTAACGAAATCGAATCCTGTTTTGAGCTGGGTGGCCGCAGTGCCGGTTGTGTCAGCAAAGACCTTAATTTGCTCATTGGATGACTTTATCAGACTGATGAGCTGCGTGGCTTCCACACCCCCTTACGGCATAAACCCATGCGTCCCGAAAATTTTCGAAAACCACAAAGACTCACTTTTCTGCATCCCACATTGAGCATGGCTTCCATACCGAGATTTTGTCCAGCTGGTTTCTTCTTGATGCAAGTTGATAGGGCTGAGTCAATGACAGTAACCCAGTCGTTAACTGGGGTGATCCTGAAGTTCATAATAACGCCTGAGCTCTCCATTTTCGAAAGTGCGGAAAAGCTTTGACTCACATCTGCTTCTTGATGCTAGAGACGCAAATATCGACTTTGTTGGCTGATCCAATAGCGATGCCACCACGTCCACCAGAAAGAAGCTGTAAAAAGTGACGTTCGAATCATTTTTTTAATCTTTGCTTTTTTGAGGTCAAAGTCTATTATTTCGAACTAACATCATTGAAGACCCCGGAAATGGAATTGATCCTCTTCTTGAGCTCATCTCGGGCGTCCGTGATACATTGGCAAGTGGCAGTTCGCGTTTGAGGAATTGTTGTTGCGCAAGTTCCGGTGGCGACACGAGAATCACATGAGGCAAGGACTAAAACCAAGAATCGCATTAGACCAACTGCTATCTAAAACTGCTTGCTTGTTGGAAATGTCGCCAACAAAATCGAAAAAAAAGTGAAAAGAAGTTAATTCACTATCTGATCTGCGCAGTTTTTTTTTGTTGCCTCTGAAGTACATACCATTAGTGAGCTGGGATACACATGGAGAGAAGTACTCATAAAAATCAGATTACAGATTCCTGCTATTAGCTGAGTGAGAAAGTTCCTCTCAGAATATATAGTCTACGAAAGCTTATCGATGAAAAATTTTGGGCCATTTTAAGCATCCTTATCTAACCATAAGACTTTTTTGGACTACATCGTCACGATCACTTTTTGCGACTGATGTTTAGCTGCACAACTTGTTGCAAATTGTGTTGAGCGTCGCCATCTTGGTTGCAGAGTTCGCCAACTCTCAGTCTTGCTATGGTGTTCAGCACCTTTCTTTGCGGTAGCACCATCACTTGTTGCAGATGATGCTCAGCAGCACCACAACTTGTTGCAAACGGTGTTGAGCAGCACCACCTTGGTTGCAGAGTTCACGATCCGTCAGCCTGGCTGAGGTGTTGCAGCACCTTCCTTTGCGGTAGCACTATCACTTGTCGCACTTGATGTTCAGCAGCACCGTCACTTTTTGCAGTTGATAACAGCACAATTTGTTGCAAACGTTTTTGAGCAATACCAGCACACATGTTAGCCTGCCGTAAGCGAGAATGCAGGATTCGTGAAATCTGACCGCTTACTATGCATCTACCGTATCCAAATTAGCACTTTTATAAATCAAAAGATGCGTCTTCTCAAGCTAATCGAATGGTGCCCTTGAATTCAGAATTTATTCACAATGAACCAAAATATAGAGATGCGTGAAGATTTTGGTAAACTCCATGGGGCTCTGTTACTTTTTTTCGACGAATTTACGGTGTTGTAGTTGTCTCTTGAACCGATGTCTGCTTATGCTATTGGGAAGTTCTCAACAAGAAACATTGACAAAGATGTTTGGTAAAATTTTCCTTCTCTTGTACTCAGTGAGAAACTAGTCGAATTATCCATCCGATTGCTACCCCAGTTCTCGTGTCCAATTTTCGCTACTCCAGCAGAGTGTTCAGTTTTTGTCGCATACACTATGCCTACCAGCGCAATATCCTAGTTAGCGCGAATAGGGGCAACGGAAGAAAACTGTGCGATTTCTCTCACCTTTGCAGTGTTCGCTAAGATATCCGACAAAGGGATTATTCAGACATTTGTTGGTGTTCGCCGCTCGAGCTGGTTTTCGTTCACCACAGAACGCCAAACGGGAATTGATGAGAATATGATCAGATAGATAGGAGATCCTAAAGTGTTATGTTTGGTTTGTTGGCGTATCCGTTGGCCGTGACTGTGGCACCACCACTCACACTGAATCTCTGTAGGCGAAAGAGCCTTCTTCGATATCGGGAATGTCGGGAACTCCAGCAAAGTTCGGAATCTTCTTCTGTAGGCAGAAGTTGGCTTCACGAGCGATAGCTGAAAACATCCGAAAGGTGTCTTTGTGTGTCACTTGAATGACAAAAGTGCTTACCCTTCGTGATTTCTGTACGGATGCATTTCTGGTCCTCGGCTGGTGTAGATTTCAGCGCCTTCAGAGCGCCAGAAGCAAACTGTGATGACGATTTGATAAAAATCTTGTGTCATCAAAGAGTTTTCTGAACTCACGGTCCTGCAAATTGTGCAGTCTCTCAGAGGTCCATGTCTGTCCCAAGCGACCTGATTGAGGTCATTTGCATTGAGGACGCAGCGGTCGTTTTTGTTGCCCTCCTCGATAGTAGGCGAAAAGCAAGCGAGTGCTGCCTTCCTGAAATCAGAAAAGTTTGTGTTCCATTAGATCAGTGCTGTAGCTGCTGAAAGATGCTGAAAAATTCGGCTTACCTGCCATGTTCTCGAATCTCATTTTCATAGAGCTCGTAGTTTTGGTCCAGGCCTTGCTTCATGCAATTCAGGTACTGTCCAAACGTATCGCGAGTTCCTGATGGAGTGCTGCAATCCTGCGCTGATACTGCAGCCGCCTAAAAGCAAAAAACTCCTGAAAAGATATTAAATGCTGGATAATTTTTTTGGAGAATCTGCCAGTTAGCTATCCCGGGATCTACATAGATTTATGAAGCGACACGTTACTATTTTAACCCTATCAAAAAATTCTTAAACTCACGAGAATGGTGGATATCACGATGACACGCAGCATCTGAAAAAGTTGGACTTTTGTCAATGCGGGTAAAATTGGGTCACTGGAGTCAGAGTGTAAAGTGAAGGTACAAATTGTGAGAATCGTAAATAGAGGTGTTATAGGGGGAAACTGTGGATACAAGTGTGCTAGACCATAACATTAGAGTTTAGGGAAAAAACTCAAAAAATTGGGTAATATAGTTTCTTTACAACTCAGTCCTTAGGGTTCTGGTTCTAGCAAGGTTTCGCAGGGATCACGCATATAGATATACAGGTAAATATCTCCTTGAAAGAAATCTGTCGAGATTGAGTTTTTGGATGCGGAGCGGAATGTTGGTATCATTTTTCGTACAGCTCAGTTTTAAACCGTAATTTATAGAAGGAAAAAACAGCATGAAAAAGGCAAATGTCTGTTCATTGTTGAAAACAGTTACACCTAAAATCCGCTGTGGCTACTAAAATGCAAGCACTCGCAAAGATAAAATGGTGCTATTGGTGGGGTTGACAGCATGCACATGAAGTGCGCGGGATAACTAGTTTGCAATCGTAAAAGAACAGACAAGATACACTTTTTCGCACTACCTAGCGTTGTGCTCGCGTAATTTCCAGGAATTCCACCGAGAGAGGATTCTCCTAGTTTTGGGGACCTACAAAAGCAGAGCTGGAGCAGAGCATGGGGCGAAGGCAATGACCGAAATGAGCCACTGGAAGTAGTTGAATCGAGGTGAACTGAGAGGCTGCCCGATCAGCGCTCCCGCAGCTGACCTAGAATCATGAGAGTGTGGTCGAGCGCGGCTGAGACTTTGCTGGAGAAGGCGCGAGATAACGGTGACATGCTGATCAAGGCCGCAAGTCTTCGCGGCTAAACCGACATGGCCTTGTTTTTGAAGAGTTTATGTAGATGATCGTCATGGTTTGGTTTGTCGACAAAGCAGGCTACGATCAGTGGCGTTATAATGTCATCACACACACCACGCAGATCTGGGGGGCGAGTTCTGCGTCACAACCAGTTGCAAAAAGGAATGACCTCGCTGAATTTCGTCCATGGTTAGCGGCACATGGAATCAAGCTATGTGGGCCAATCCATCGTTTATGCAACTGCGGGAAGTACACGAAACTTGAACACGAAACTTTTGAAAATTTTAGGCGTTTTTGTAGACTTTTCTATCATACAAAAATCAAATAGGAGGCATTCACATCTGAGATTATTAGCAAATACGTCGCTAAAGAAGACCTCATTTATGTAGGAGAGATCAGCAGCTACTTCTGTTAGGTTGAAACTTCAAAGCGGAAATTCTACAAAGACATTCATAAGGATAAACTATCCATGGTTTTATGATGCAGAGGAGGTGTGTGTCAAGGCGATTTTCAAAGCTAGATGAGCATCAAATAGCATATATACGTTTTAAAACGCTCCAGAAGCAGTTCAAAATTTCAGAGATAGGAGCCTGTGTTCTTCACTAACCTCAAATAAATTTGGTAAATGTAGAAGATCAAGAACTATGAATTTACAAGCAGCAGTGATTTGTAAATATTTCGCGATAGGCAAAAATAAGCTCAGCAAGCGGTACTTTTCACAGCTAGCAAGCAAAACACTTTGCAAATTATTTTCTCGAAGATACCTATAGTGCTGAATCGGAGTTATGCGTTGGTAACTCCGGAAAAATCGCTCCACTTGACCGTTTCCCATGGAGAGGCAAGAGGAGAAAAGCTATGGGAAGGCTTTTTCAGCTTATTACGCGGAAAGATTGTCATATCATGCAGCATTTGAAACTACTCAAAAGCTGATTCTGTTCAGAATTCTGAGGCAGGCTGATTTTCCAGAAGTCGAAGGCAACACCAAACAATTTGAATAGCTAGCCTTCAGACAGACGAATACTACGAAAATTACACTTCGAAGGAACTGTACTGCTCGTTTGTAGTGGATCATACGGAATGGCATATGGAATGCCTTGTGACATCTCCTTCAACTGCATATAGTAAGGAAAAATACATGGCGTAACCAAACTGATCACAAGCCTTATCCCTCTTTTTTATCAAATTGACAATCGTGGGGCAACGCACCCATTATTTTGTGACGGCTTCATCTACATCTCCGCCAAGGAGGTCTGATCAAAAATGTTACATTCTCCGGGCACCACTCAACTCCTCATGGGATATTCGAGAAAACTCTTGACAATGGCTTCATTCGCGCAGTTAAATAGATTCATTTCCCACAAAAATCAGGAAGAGCATGAGACGAATCAATTTTACCAAAAATCGCATCAATTTTTGGAATTCCCTCTCAATCTTTCTGATTATGGCAGGATTGAGTTTAGATAAAGAATTTATATGCGAAATTCTGTCACACTGAAACTCGGTCTAGCAAGCACACCCATTCGAGCTGCGAAACAGTGCATTCCCAAAATAATACAGTAGCGACGAGATCAGCATCCACCTGAGCGCTTTGAAATGATAGCTGCTGTAAATTTTAGAATGGAGGAATAGGCAACGAGAAGACGAGTGTGACAAGAACAGGACGGTCTGGAATTGGGATGTGCATTTATGTCTGTGATCGAATTGCATCGACGAACATGGAACTATTAGATGTGCTCAGCCAAGTGTTCAACAAAGAACTGAAGGTCGCACTATCTCACAAAGGCGCTGCCGCTCGACCTTCTCCACGAGCACCGATGTTTTTCGCGGTTACGCAGACGAGGAAGACGAGGTAATTTTCTTATTTCTGACATTATACATGACTGACTTGTGAGTAATTAAGAATTAGTCATGTGTCTTGGCAATCTGTGTTTGCAGTCGCCGAAATTTCATAATTTGCATCAGATCAAGTCATTAAAGAAGTCGAAAGACTATAACCAGTGAATGGAATAGGTCATCAAAAGAAAAATGAAACTTCTGGAGCTTCTATACGTGTGAGCTTTGTCTCTTAGTGAGACAAATAACCTACACGCCCTATCCAAACTATCTTCAACGAAACAAGATTTTTGTAGTCACGCACAAACCAGGCCTTCGAATTGTGACTTGAGTGACAGCTTCGTGAGTCATCTCTGTATTATGATAGGTGGAAGAGGAAGTGGGACTGACTTTGGAGGAGAAAACACAGCCAATATATAAGAATCAAGATTATGTGGACGTAAGATAGCTAAGCAAGTCGATCACGAGAACATATTACCTTACAAAAGCACCACTCTTAGTTATTCACATACTTTGAGCCTAGCAGCAGAACAAGAGGTAAGAAGAGAATCTTGGTCAGCTATAATAGTCTAGTTTCCTTATGGCTGACCTGTCCTCGAATTTATCTGCATTAGGTGACCTGATTCAGCTAGCGATAGCAATGATTTAGGGTGTGAAGTCCAGGTCTAGTTTTGAGTTTTGCACACTTATCGAAAAATAGTGAATAGGTCTAGTTGTGGTGTCTGATCATAGGACATCAAATCTTCATTTATTACTGGAAACTTTACAAAAATGCAAAAAGACGGTTAAAAAAATGTGAATGAAAACGTTAAACATTCAGTCTAAAAAATGTTTACCCCTTAAGAATGGATGAATAAAAACGATAAATATTGACGTTACGTTACGGCAACCACATACAGAAAGAATTTTCAAAACCCTAATACAAGCCCTGACAAAAACAAAAAAATATGAGTGACCATCGTGATTTCTAAGAATGAAAGAGATCCATACTAGGGAAGTCAAAGGGGTTCCACTGAAGCAGATTCACAGGCGGTTTGTGTGGCTTAAGGTTACCGCGCTGGGCATCAAAAACATTCAGTCTCTTCGACCGGTTCAGCTTTGTCGTGTCACCCTGTTCGCGAGGCGGCCTTTGAGTCGATCCCATGGCTGCGGAGTGGGGGTGGACGGCGTTCGTTGCCATGCTTCGTCGTCGCTCTCGTCCTCATCGTGATCGACGTTCGCAAGTCGACCGGCTAACCGACGCCGTTTGCTTTAAAAAAATCAAATTGCTTTCCTAAATGTTAACAAAAAAGTTACTAAATTGGCGCATAAGTTCGTTTTTGAAAAGACTCCTGCTCATATCAATACATTTACTTAGCATTGTTCCTATAGATGTTATGCATATATAGAAAGAGAAGCAGGAGAAAAAGATCAATCACTTCCGCAATTCTTAATGGACTTGCAAAAAATCCTAAAAAAGGTTGCAATAAATACCGGAAAGAGCAGCATAACTTTGTGATCTTCTCCTTCTTTCTGACACGCTTGCAGTGAACGATAGTCTCTAAGCAATTTTATGATTTTCGGCAAGCCTACTCAAAAAATTGCAATGATATTAAGTCGGTTCGAAAGTTTCGTCGTTTGATTTTCAAAAATCGTAATTGCTTGCTAACTAGACAGAATTGCTTTGCTGTAATTTTAATAGAAAAAAGAAGTTTTTTTATTTTGTAGTACTGTCCTACCGAGTTTCTACCGAATACTAGTTGCAAAGACGAAATTGGACTAAAAAGATTACTCTAGCTTTGAACATTACTTGGGCCGCCATAAATCTAAATTGTTGCAGAAAGATCTAAAATCGTCAGTACATAAATTTTACGATCTGCTCCTCCCAAGTGTGAAGAGTTTTTGTTGGTTGATGATTTTTGAGAAAAATGACAAGGTAATAAAATTCGTCATTTTCTGTAATAAACTCAAAAGTCATAACTTTTCATAGAGACATCCGACCAGCACAAGCTTTCACAGTTGAAAAGAAGAGATCGTGGAACTTATGGAACTGAAACTGACAATTACGGATTTTATTGCAACGTTTCATTTTGGCGGTCTAACTTGAAATGATCGAAGCTTAAATGATCTTCTTCACTTAATTTTATCTCTGCAATAAGTGTTCGGGGAAACTCGCTAGAGGAATGCTGCAAAGTAGAGGCATTTTTCTTTCTAATAAAAATACAGCAAGACAGCCCATAGCAAAAAATTACAAATTCTTGAAAATGAAACGACAGAACTTTGGATCGATCTATTTTAATATGATACATTTTGTGATTTTGAGATCATAACTTTCCTTGGAAACTTTTGATTAGCAGGTTCAGTTCAAAAAACAACATGCAATCTTATGTTGCTGACTCTTGCAAATTATTAGGTTGTAAAGGAAGTTCTCGGGCAGTTTTGAATATTTCATTTTCAGACTCATTTTTTTCGCACTCGGTTGAATCATAACGACGAATATTTCATATGGTTCTACAGAAAAAAGCCTAAGCTTTCTAGATTCGCATTCAGTTTTTATCGATGTCAAGCCGTGTTTGATCTACACACCAAAAAAGGAAGTCTGTGCAACGAAAAATTTCACATTTTTTTTGCTGCCATTTTTTCGCAGTGAACAAAAAAAACCATTCAAGGGCTGGTCAATATAAATAAGGAGGCTGTCTACTTTGAAATCGCATCTATGCTCGGATTTTACAGTACGCACACAAAAATTACAAGTTCTCAAACTTGTCTTTGACTATACCTGTTTTCGGCGTCGATTTTGTAAGGATCGTCACGCCTCGGTGATGGGCCCAAAAGATGAGCAGGACATTACCCCAACACTATTTGCAGCAATCAAAGATTTGATTCATTCTGTAGAAAAAAGGAAGACTTCAAACTCATTTACTCAGAAACTGAGGCATTTTTAAGGTGCAAAAATGGCCGATTGTTTTTTGATTTTCGAGAAAAATTTTTTCACAGGCTGTGCTCTAAAATTCTGACACAGTCCATTAGTAGCTCCAGCAGAGTTCTAAATATCTACCGAATATGAGCCCAGCTCTCTTCGTGCCTGAGAAATTCCTGTACTAACAGGCCGAAATTCTAAGTCGACTTTTTTCCTTACTGCGGATGCTGGTGAACCGAAATGAAGCGCTGAGGATCCAACAAATTGAGCATAACTTATAGACAACATTGCTTTTGCAGGGAAGTTTGCAGCTTTCAAAAAGGATCAATCTCTTGAAGCTACATTTGAAACAAAATTTCGCAAGTGTCTGGGAACTTTCTTTACAACCTGATATGTGCAATGTTTTTTGCGAGCTTTTTTGAAACTCGATATTCCAATGATATTCTCCTTCCGCTTCTATCTCCGCTATACCTGATTGAAAGTAATGGAAGGTATTTCAAATAGACGGCCCTCTACAAAATCAATGCCAGGTGAATCCAGCAAGATAAAAGACGCGGGTTTTATAAAAATGGTACGAACTAAATTCTGGACCAACACCACCCTATAGAAAAAAATAACAGTTTTTCTTTGGGAAAAGGCATTTTCATCTGCAAAACTACTATTTGATTTTTTTCTCGCACGAAAAATCAAAGAAGAAAGTTTCGGGTATTTTTCCAGATTTTGTGACCATTTCAGAAATCAATCACACATGTAAAAGTTGGAAGTCAAACGATCGTAAAGAAAGCATGCGAAATTATGCTTTACGCAACAGCTAAATCACAAGATGCGAGACACTTTCCCATGCTTGTAGCTGGGATGTAGAGATATGCTAGAAGGCAATGATGTCTCAGTTGGTAGTGATTTCCTACCTTCAGCTCAATGTTTTTCTCTGCTTAGTTGGGAAGAGATCTTACTGGTTACTGCACTATTCAGTCGCTACTTGGCCCGTTTCATGATTTGCATAGAATTTTCGCTATTAGTCGAAAACTGGACTCTTCCTCACTGGACAGAACTCACGGGGCGGAGTTGTCGAGATCATCCGATGCTAATGTATGTCCGATGCCATTGTATAGTTGCGAGCCTTTCTTTGCTCCTCGTCCCTGAATGCCATGTATAGATTATAGCGGCAAGGTGCATAAGACATGAAATCGTCAATACATTCGCGTTTTATGAACTCCATGTGGAAATTTACCTTGACAACTTTGGCTTGAGGTGCTGGAGAGTCAGTATCAGCAGGTTTATTGTCGTCTTTGTCCATTTCAGCGTTTGGATCATCGTAAAACCTAAAAAGGGTACGTGGTCTAAACAGCTTTATGTTCTGAGAATAACACATTTGAATATTTTCAAAACTAAAGGGTAAAGTAAAAGATGCTCCAGAATGATACAGTAATGAGCGGTCATAGATTTGCTCTACACAAATACAACTTCAAGAGGCGTGATGTCACAAGAGGTAGGTCCTCAAATTTAGCACCAAGAATTTCGAGATTCGTGATTTTTTCTGGTATCAAACCTTTGATTCAGTAGAATTTATGGAGGGAGAATCATCGAATTTTCATAAGGTGCTTCTAGCAAGAATTCAAACTGGCATACTAGAATATACAAGCTGATGAATAAACGTTGAAGTCTTCTTTTAATTTTATAACAGTGAATGCTAGAAAGAAATTAAACTAGATGGAAAATAGAAATAAAATTTTACGTTTGATTGTGGTTTTACCACTTACTCTTTTCAGCTGACAGGATTTCGCGCTAATAGAATGTATCAAAAATAATTGTTAGATTTTTTTGAGCGTTATCCAGTTTTGTAACATATAACTAATAGTCTCTAAAATGTATAATAAGATAGAACATATGTTATATGTATGTATATTAGAAAAATGCACAACACAGGTCCAAATGTTTTTCGAACACGAACGAGTTCTGTTGCAAGACTTACGGACCACCCTAATAGTAGTTAAATACGCCTCTAACTATGAAAATCAGGAAAAACAAACCTCGTATCGTGTTCGTAATCCCATTCCAGTTCGTTACCCTTCTCGTCGAAAACATTGAGACCAGGTCTCACTTTTTGCTCCGTTGACCATGTGTAAGCGAAACCTATATCAAATTTCTATCAAAAACTGTGCATTCCCAAAAAAGTTTGCTCTTTACCCTGGTCATCTACATCCTTTCTTCGCTTTCGGTTTATATCCTCTTCTGCATTAGCAACGATTTTTCGAGCTTCCTTACAAAAACAAAGTGTCAACAACAATTGAAGGGAACAAAATTGAGTAACACGTACGGCGATTTCAGCATTTGTTGCGAATTTCGCGATCATGAAACGTCGCTCCGGCACATGTGATGTAACAACCCTCCATCGTCCTGTTATAATTCAAGAAATGTTTGCTTGAGAAAACGTTGGAATGACTGAAGAATCTTACCACTAGGGATATCTATGGCGTCCACATCCACCTCCACAGCATCTTGTGTTATTCGTTTCGATGTTTCTCCTGTATAATAGCATTAATGGTAGGAGGCAAGAAGCGGGACTAAGGGCGTAAGAAACAAAACAAGTTAACGCGAAATTCAAGATTTGGAAGTTTACCTAGGCAAAGAGACGCCGATCAAAACAATAAAATTAACTTTCGGTTTTTAAGTAGTGCGATAATGAAATGATGTTGTGACATACATTTTCTCGAAAGAAAACTCAAGGGGAGGAGACTTGGTGACCATGGCATTCGTAATGAGACGCATAACACTAGATGCGTCTTAAAACGCCAATTTTAAATCTGCTCTTGTTATCTACGAAGTGATTGCTTAACGAAAAAAAAACGTATTCTCCATAAGAATTTGCACTGTTTCACTTGAGTTAAACGTCGCTGGAATTTCTTGTTTCACTCCTCGGAACGACATCTAAAGATGAGCGCAAGTACCTTAACCTGTTTCAGTTTATTTATATTCAAAAACTCAGATATTCATAATTTGACCATGCTTTAGTGTGCAAAAATCATGCGGAGAAAGCTCATAACTTTTAAGACAATCGCTTAGCAGTAAGGAAAGCAAATTTCGATCAACGTTTCAAAAAGCATATGGTGACATGTGCCTCATTCTGTATGTCCACGGTCACCATTATCCTTCCCAGAAGCGTCGATTGATTTGCGCAATCATATCTTCCATCACAATCTGTTTACCATCTCCAAACTTTGGGATAACAAATTCGATAGATAGATTGCTTCATTAGTCTATAAGCAAAGTTGCATCTCAAGCAATGTCTCCGCTACAGTTCTTTCGGGATCAGACTAAACGGTCCAAACAAAACGCACTTTTTCTAGGAAGATCGCTAGTACTAAACTGTTATGAAGCTTAACTGCCAATGCTTATCAATGCTTTTTGGCTTCTCCACCTCCTAAAAAGGCGGAGACGCCCAAAATATACGAGATCTTGTTACAATTTTTCTTCATCTCCACCCGATCCGCAAAATTGCATCGGTGTGATTCAGTGCAGTGCTGCCATTATATGACGAACAGCAGTATGTTTGTATATGCAAATTGGTTTATACAGCCTGCGCCGAGCAAATGAACGCTGGCAACAAATACAAACACATCCACGAAGGAGAGTTTGCATTCATAGTTCTTGCATGATATGATATGCGAGATCAATGTTGCACCTTGCCACAACAGAGCAATCAAATAAAAATACGAGATTGAGTGTTTTCGTTTGCACCCAAACAGTCAAGCTAGTACTAGACCAGGATGTCCGATAAGACTGGGTCAGTGGGAGTCCGCAACGGAGTCCTCATCGCATTGGTTTCTGCATATTTGCCTAGCAACCGATACACAATAAAATGAAAGATGAGAGGAGCAACATCGCGGTATTTGTGTCTCCAATGTCACCTACACAAGTGTTGTACCATCTATAGAGCATCACAACTCCACCTTCCTCATTCAATCACAAAGTCTACGCATACAAAGCTGCAAAGAATTCTGGGAAGCTAATTTAGCAGAGCGAGACAAATATCAAAACAGAGCATTAGCTATCCATCAGGAAATTCTTTGAAACTCTTCTGATGATCTTTGCGAGGCTATTACCCCAAGAACCGAACAAGAGGGCACAGGGCTGAGAATTTTTCCCAAAGGAAGTGCATTTTTATGAACTTTGAAGGATGTTTCAATTGACTACAAGTAGAAAACCAAATTATTTGAGCAATTTTTCATAACTCATCCCCTGAGTCCGGTCTGCCGATAGATGTTTAGTCTTTCTAATCTGACTTCTCTTTCCACAAAGTCTTTACGGCTTACAATTGGCTTTAACTACCCAGTAGAATAGGATTTAACTTACAATTAGACTTAAAAAATGAAGCGAATCACCCGCCGCTTTCATTACTGTAGGATCACGTTATAATAGCCACATTTTGCTCCTATTTTAGTGACGCTGTATGCTTTTTTTACAACAGCTTGCTGAGTTTTCATCCTGGAGTAAAATGTGGCCATTATGGCTCAAAACTCTGTTCAATTTCCGTCCTAGAGTAACGAAAAGCGATGGGTGATTCGCTCCATACAAATCTATGCAGGTTGAAGCCTGCCCTACTGGTGGATATTATTTTACCAAAGACTTTGTAGGAAGGTGACTACTAACGATTGAAAAGTGTGGACATCAGTCTCCGAGCAAATTTAATCCCAGAATGCTGGAATTTTTACTTATCAGTATTTTAGTTCTTTTGGTTTCTAGAAAACCAAAACTTTTCAGCGCATATAACTTAGGCCATCGACATGAATTGAGTGAGAAAGTTCTCGAATAGTCACAAAAAATGTTACTTACTGTCATCAAATTAGTACGGAACCTTTACATGCATGATAGCTGAAATATACAGGAGATGTCTTAGCATGGGAATGGGTAAGCAAAATTTGATGTTTTCAAACTTTGACTGCTATTTTCGTGTAAATCTTTTCTTATACTCATGCTAAGTTTCTTTAACAGGGCTTGCTCCCTCTATTAGAAATATGACGAAAATGTAAAATAAAAAGAAATGTTTCTTCTTGCTTTTCATTTCTCTTTCCCTTAGACAAATTTCCGGGAATTCATTGATCTCTATCCCAAAGCAAATGTCGGGAGTCAAGGCCTTAAATTCAGTAGCAAATGATGACTACCGGCAATGATTTGCTCTCTAGCCCACTAGCTTCTATTGGACAACTTATATATAAAACTGAATGTCTGTATGTCTGTATGTACGTATGTTCCGAATAGAAATTTTTATTTCTGAACCGATCCGGACCAAACTTGGCACACATACACTTCGGGTCCCGGCGGGTGTCACAGTCCACTTTTCGTCATCGATCGATGTCGATTTTATCGATTTTTTGCAAAATTTGAGCTGCGGGGCTGGGAGTTGGCACAGGGGGGTGGTCAGCATGCTTGATTACCCCCCTGTGCCAACTCCCAGCCCCGTAGCTCAAATTTTGCAAAAAATCGATAAAATTGACATCGATCGATGACGAAAAGTGGACTGTGACAACCGCCGGGGCCCGAAGTGTATGTGTGCCAAGTTTGGTCCGGATCGGTTCAGAAATGGAATTTTCTATTCGGAACATACGGCGGAGCCGGGTAAGCCAGCTAGTTCCCAATAATAAGCTAACTGGGTAATGAATTATACAGATCTTTCAAGAGCTGTCAGTTACAACTACAATATGACGCACGAAATGTGTCTGAGCTTTGTCTATGACCAAAGACAGATACCCCAGCCCTTCATTTCGTAACTATCAGGGTTTGCCTAACTTCCGAGAGAATGTTTGACACGATGTAATGCCCTTTAGGAGAACAATGATGGCCGATGAATGTACAGGTACGCAACGCAGAAGGTCAAACAACGTCACACTCCTAACAATGGTCTTCCCACATGTATGGAACCCACCGATGGACAGCATAATAACTGTCCTCTATGCGCGTACCTCATTTACGAGATGAGGTCGTCGAGTCCATGCGCCTCGACACAGCGTGATCTCGTTCAGGCGGAAAAAATCGTCATGGCCGTCAAATGGGTTTTGATGAATCAGAATTCGTGAGCAACACATCTAATAGGTCAATGCATTTCCCTCTTTAGGCCCCGGTCAGACTTTACGCGACTTAATCGTCGCGATCTAATCGCCAAGATTTCCATTCATTTTCATTTCACATTCAAAAATTTCGGTCTGGAAAAGTATCACAACCGAATGCAAGTTGATCGGCATGGAATGATGTTGTAACAGTTGTCTCGTCGCGATTCAGTCGCGACGATCAAATCGCGTGAAGTCTGCCCGGGGCCTTACATAGAGAAAAACCTGCAGTGGCAAATGCAAGCCCAGTGTTTAAGACAGAAAGTTGGAAATGGAGGGCAGTTCGATAGCACGTTTTCCATTATGGAACTTTTTTGGTTTTTTGGTTGAATCATTGTTTCATCTTTCACCCAGTCTACAATACGCTCATAGTTAGCCAGAAAAGTCAACGCACTGCACCCAAATTCACCGAAATCGGCGTCGCAGTGCCATATATTGGTTCGTGGACAATTTTGAATCCATGGACACCGCTCGACTTAGCCTGGCGGGTGCATCTTCTGTTTTACAGAAGTCCTCGTTTCGATACGGTAAGTGCACGACAGGTGGTCAGAATTCACGAATGCTGCTAGATTTTTGGTTACGGTAGGACTACTGTGCGCTTATTGATTGCACACTGAGCAACCTCAAGGTAGAAATGTGTGAAACTGACCGTCTAACGCATGTTAACCGACACTTCTTTATACCAGTAAATGCACCTCACCTAGCGGAGTCGAACGGCGCTCTTGGATACAAAATTTACCCAATATATGACCCAGGATATGCCTATGCGGAGCGGAATTCGGTGAACTCCGGGTAGTTCGATGACTTCTTTGAATGATTATGAGCAATATTGTAGATTCTTCATAGTACTTTGCTAATTTCTTTTGAGTGGAACCGCGATTCACCGTTCAGCCACTGTAGTCTGAAGAGAACTCGATCTTCATCTGGGGGGGGGGGGGGGAGGAAGGGAGGGTCAATCTACATTACGACTAAGGGGAGAATACCCGGAACTGAACGCGCATTGACCTAGCATGGCCTTTCGTGAGCCAGATGTTTATGTAGACCCAACACAAACAAGTCATATCGCGTGTCTCTCTAATCGCTAACGCCTGGCGCGCTGAACATACTGCTTTGTGAGGGCCTTCGCTTCTAATCGCTGGTTTAGCTACGCATTTCAATGTGGGCAGAAATTGGCCACTAATTCAACAGATAAATCTGCCAATAAGAAAAGCATTCAAGAAAGAATCTGCACGTTGCCCATTTTACAAGACTAACTTGAATTCTAAAAAAGGCATACGCAGGACAAATCCTCGTCAACCTTGATACACCACACGAAATAAGTATTCGACGCCTTTGTTTCAACCAGCACAACTAGACAGTCAGAATAGCAGCTGGCTAATGCACAATGAGACTTCGAATCTACGCCGCGTGCGCGTAAACTGAGAAAAAACATTTATACTCATTTGAAGCTCCAAAAGATGAAAACGTGTTTTCAACTAGGATCAAACTGCAAAAGAACTGCGATCTGCGAAAATGGCAAATTTTCTCAAAACGAACCACTATGCGCCACCAGAGCCACATCGTCGCCTTTTTCATGCTTAATTTGTCCTTCTTCCTCTTCACCGTCTGAGTCTGTCAGCTCCCCGTCTTCTGCAGCTCTTGTGGCTCGATACCGTCGAAGAGGTTTTGTCATTCCAATCATCATCTATAACGATATGCAACGGATTAGTACGAGTTTAGCTTCTCTAGAGCTATGCTTATAAGGCAACTATGTTGAGTCGAAGTGGCCTTGTTAGATAGGATGTATACCGAATTGGAGAGCATAAAACCCTAATTCCAAATCTGCCTTCCTTATCTGCGGAAAGTTTATGAACAGAGAGTTACGAGCTTTTATTAGAGCAAAACATTACATGTGCAGATAGGACCAGAGTTTTAATGGAGTTTGACAGATACTCTTCAAAAAATATATCATACTTGATTGCTTTATTTAAGGCTAAGAAGGTTTTAGCAACTCACTTTATGCAGTTTTCCTAGATGCAGTTTTTCTCTTTTTTTGCTTCTACAAACGCTCATAACTCGTCCACAAACGTTCCGCAGATAAGGAAGGCACATTTGAACAGCGTTTTATGCCCCCAGCTTGGTGTACAATTGAGCTCCTAATCATGGGAAAAAACGATACATCCCATGTGAAGAGGTCACTTCAACTAAACATGCTTCCCTTGGGAGCAAGATCCACACTTTCTAGACAACTCAATGCTTTCACCCCTTGTTCTGAAGACTGTATAAAAATCGCTTACCCTGACGCAGTCGGCTCGACTCGCAAAACTGATGAGGGCCGAAGACTTGTCTAGGATTTCTACACGGCATGGATGATACTCAGCAAAAATTCTGCAAAAGAGTCTCAATATGAATGACATTAAAACCTCAAATCAAAGCATGCCAGGGTTCATACTATTCGTGTTCGGATCGGTAGGTTGTGATTTCGACTGTCAACACTTTTGGTCGAGAAACTACCGCTATTGAATACAAACCCCAATTTTTAGATATCGAGAAAAACTCAGCGGTAAACCATGATATTGAAGGAATATGGTATACCCATTTTCACTTTCTTAGATTTCTCGAAGTTCTACCATGATGATTATGGTCTGTGCCCTCAGTACAAATATTTCACGTCTTCTCTCTCCTCCCATGTGTAGCCCAGAGCGTTTTGAGATTTTTAGAGATAAATTCGGTTCTATAAAGAACAGCACCAAGCATCGGCGTTGTCGTCAAAGTTCAAAATTTGCTGATACCATGCTTTAGCTTTTTTCCGACAGGATGCTATGTGCTTTACCATGTGCTTTAGCCCATATGTATCTTTCTGCCCGCAGAAGAAATAGAGGATATTTCAGAATTCAAAATCTCAGAAAGATGAGCGCGATATTTCCTTTCTCCAACTGCCAGCGCTAGCTGAAGAAGACAGGGCGCAAGGTTAGCAGGTGCCACAAAACTTGAGTCTATCAGAATGCGTGAAGTAGGAAAAAAGCAATGAAAAAACCTACAGTAGTTCTGTACAGCAGCACAGAAAGAGCTGACAGAGATGGATCGTACTCATACTGTACAATCAAAAGAATTCATGGAAAAAAATTTCCCCAACCAAAGTAAGTGGCTAGGATCGCCTTTCTTCCCCTGCTATAATACTGCTACAAGATGGAAGCTTCGTAAGCAACTTTTCTTGACTCTAAATTCCATCAAATCAGAGGATCATTTATATTTCTATCCATGTTTTTTGCTCTAGAGCTGTATACGCATTCCTACTTAGTGTTCAAAAGTGCCCCGAACAAATTCAATCCTCCATGTTTTATGTGGTATGGATATTTGGCTGACTGAGGCTAGCGTATGAACGAAAGCTTTGTGCGGGTAGCTATAAAATATTAAAGACTTTTCCACGGCGAATCGAGTCATGTCGTCCGTCCCTTTCACAAACACCACCCGTACGTTGTGGCTCTCTTTTGTGACTCGCAACTCGCGGTAGAGGCAATCGATGTCCTCTTGCGACAACTGAAATCAAGCTATTTCATTCGATTACGTTTTGCAACGACTTGAGAAGATTTTATGTACATCAGAATCTAATCACGCTCCGTCAACATGCTAGGGAGCCGGGTCTGGTGCCAAGTAATCAGTAATGAGTGTTTTTGTTCAGAAAGATAATAAGCTGTTCAACTGGTATAAGCACGTGTTAAAGGTAAAGTTCTCGATTCCTTGCCCTAACTTCCATACGTTATGCAAATACAAAAACACGACTCCCACTCAATCGACGTGAATGTCGCTCATTTTTGAAAGATTTCTTGATACCCTACAAATTCTGGAAAGATTATCACGATTAATATTATAGAGATTGCGCTCTACATATTACATATATCACTTTAACACAGAAGGTTTGAAACTACTTTCATAGCTCTTGTATTTTTGAATATGGGGCGCTCATTTCTCGATATAATGTAGACAAGGTAGTGAATTACAGCAGAATCATTTCATATGATCATTTGCGCATTGCACACACCGTCCATCTTTGGCGTCCTCATCATTTTGCAATTATAAAACCGCAAGAGACTGACCGATTGTTATCGCTTGCATCACTTGGAGGTGATTAGTAGCTAAGAAAGAAAACTTAGAACACATCGAGGACACACTTCTCGGAGGTTGTCTGCTCCAAAAATCCAGGATGGGGACGCCAAAGGCGGACAGTGTGCATTGACACACATGATCATATGGAATGAACTGCGCAAATGTGCGCAAGCTGTTTGATTTTAATGGCGAAGTGGAAATATACGCCTTTCTCGAAAGCTGGTCAAATGAGCGGTCAAAAAAAATAAGAATGAAGGCGTTCGCAACTTGAAGCAAACGCATCAAGCAGAAACTGCACCCGAATTGTTACTATTTCATCTAGTATATAGCAATCTTAGTAATTTCGGCTTGCTGCTTTGATTCATGCCGGATAACCTGAATTTTATCTTTAGCCCGTGGCAATTCTAATTTTTCGGAAAAAGCGTGAATTTTCTTCGCCACCAAAAATCAAGCAGTTTGCGTACATTGATAGCTCACTACCCAGTTTGCATTGAGTCAAGATATGAGCGCGCACCATTCAAGAAGAGAAGAGTAGAAATTAGTTGCAAAGTAATGTGCCTACCTGTACCATGAGTTTTAGTGCAAGACCGCACAATTTTTTGGGCAATCAAAAGTTGTCGCAATACTATACTCCCACAGTCACAAGATACAAAACCTACTATTCTACTCAACCCAGAAAATCGGCGATTTTCAAAACATTTTGCTTTCGCCGTAGAGGTTCTCTTTCATGTTTTGTTCAGTCACCAAAAACCACAATACGTTACACTCGATCATTCTGCCCCTATTAAACCATGGAGGGGTAATTTCATGATATTAACCCGCAGCAACGGCAGATCAATGCATCAACGCACATGCACACGCGCACACCCTCATTATCTCGGGAGATTTTCCTCTCACCGACTACGGCCTACCCTACCCCTTGCAAAATGACATTTCGGATCCTTGAGGAAAATATGGGGACCAAACCTGCGTCGGTCAACTTTAGCAGATGATAGTCAACCTAGATAATCAAATCATTCTGAGAAAAATAGTGAACTTATCCGATAAACAGAATCAGACACTCCCCGTCCCATTCGTCATTGAAAATGTATCCAAAATGCACTAGTCCAACATTGCTCAACAATGCCATACCATCACTCTTTTATGTGACACATGTAAACTGATGCGTGAAGAACTGCAGCAATTAGCTGGTCCAGCGATGCGAACAGCACTCAGTAATGGAGATTGATTAGTTTCAAAATTTACCCAAGTTGACGCAAACTGGAGCAGACTTGACCAAACTGCGCTGCTTCACTTCACTACCCATCTTCGATGGTGACAAGAGAAAAAGTGTGAGATCAGCGCAGAGATTCTCAGAGATGACGAGTCCTCATAAGAATCTGTAGCATCCGACCCAACTTGCACACTAATCATCTCAGGCACCAGCCCATGCATCAAAATCATCACTAACTATCCTTTCACATCTCTAACAACTCATGAATGCAAATCAACTAAAATTCAAATTCCAGCAGACGGATACAATCTAGTGATCGAGGAGCCATAGCGAACCAGATTATACTGCTCGAAAATGTAAATTTCTAAACACAAGCAGATAATATAGAACCATATTTTCTTTCAGTAATTTACCAACCCTATACTTGCGCAATTCCATCAAAATTTTGAATGGTGTCGATTTCAGAAAAATATATCTTTGACTCAAAGGATTGAAAGGCATGGTAATTTATCAATCGTGTGTTGTATGCCCACATATGAAAAAAAAAATAAACTCCACCTGAGCAACTGGGGGACGAGATATTCCGAAGATCTCCTTGGTAGATGGTCCATCGTCTGTTGGCTGAACAAAAATATTTTTCGAAAGGTAGATGCGACAAGACAGCCATAAGCTTGTAAGCTATTTAGGTATTGCAACATTGAGATCGCTCGCACACCTGAAACTTTGCTCACCTACCCAAGAGTAGAGGTTGAGACGAAAGGTTCAGGCGGCGAGACGGTGCTCATTTGGGATTATATTGATGAGAAAAACCTCAGTCGCACCAATTTTCAAGTAAAACATCTGAAAGACTGCGAAGCCACAAACAATCCGATTACGACAGTGGCTGGTGGAAAAGAGAGATGACCGTCGGAAGTAGAGATGAACTAGCTAGAGAGATGTCACTGAGGGTGAGGTAGTCGATAAACGCTAATGACCATGTTCTTCTCAAAAAAAGAATATTTATGTGACCCTCTCGAGAGTAAGCAGTAGTGAATAAGCGCGATATCTGAGCTCAGCAGGCAGCTCTGCTCAACCTGCTGCACAGACAAGGGAGTCGGGCCGACACTGGGCGGGTCCTACGCGAGGCGGGGCGGGTCCCCCGTCCGCCCACCCATACATGACTGCTTCGCATTGCCAATGAAATCGATTGCCGTCGGCTTTTCCATAGCAATTCCCTCGTCTTTGTCACGATTCGATTCTTTTCTGGGTAGTTCTAATCCTTTGATGGATGTGAACCCTGGCCATGAGAAAAACGGTTGTTTGATCTTACTTTTCAATGTCAGATGTTCTAAACTGGCACAAAGATAGGTGGTATGGGCGTTGTTGCCACTTATGTATTCAAAAATGGTTGGCTTGTGTAAGCTAGTGCGATGACGGAAACACCAAATTTTTGGAAAAACAATTACATCCGAAAATTTGCATTGAGGCTCAATGTTTAAGGAGCAAACTTGTTAAACTAATATGCTCTAAACTTCTGCCCGTACCTTTTTCTTAACACCTCAGATGTCCCGGTAAAAGGAAGAAGAGCAAGTCTGCCCTCTGGCGTATTATCCCTTCCTTGTGAGAATTTAGTGCGTTCGCTACTTTTTTATAACTGCTTTCGTAAGCAATTGTTTGCTTTTGCTCTCTGCAGTGCCATAAAGAGCCGAATTTCTTTTAACGATCTTCGCCTCGTCGAAAATTGCGACCTCATCTTTTTCGCACTTCTCATGGCAACGGACACAAATGACATTTAAAGGCAGCGTCCAGGCAGTTCTGGACCTATGGGGCTTTTACGTGGAAAGTACTTTTGGGGCCCTAACTAAGGCACTGCCCAAGCGGCAGCTCAGGTAGTGGTCTAACGGCTGAGATATTCCCCTCGAAACTGGACCCCGCGACCGTGTTTCGCATGGATTCATGGCGCAAAGCATGGATCCTGGCGCGAAACTGCCATGAATCCATGCGAATACGTTCGCGGGGGCCAGTTTCGAGGGAAATATCTCAGCCATTAGAGGACTACCTGAGCTGCCGCTTGGGCAGTGCCTTAGTTAGGGCCCCAAAAGTACTTTCCACTCAAAAGCCCCATAGGTACAGATCTGCCTGGACGCTGCCTTTAAGAGGTAGATTTGACTGCATGAAGCAACTGGTAATGATGCTCTAAAAATTCATAGCAGCAGCGGCTAGCATACCGATCCCAAAATTTCTAGTCTAATGCGTTGCCATCGGCTCGAGGAAATGGATGAAAGTAATTATGAAAGGACGAAAACGCGTGATAGTCGAGCAGAGGTTGAATAATTGATAGACCTGCTTTTATCCTACACACAAGATAAACATTCATCTCTCAAAATCTGACAATCATCAAATTAATCAACAATCTATATTAGCTGAGGATTGCAAGTGCCTTCATGATTGGATCAAAAATTTTTATTATTTAGCTGCTTCGGAAGGAAACGATTACAGTATCAAAATGCACAATGTAGAGAAATTCGCAAATTTTATGATGTGCTTCTTTTTCGAAATTCTACTAGCTGCGACTTATTGGAAAGAGCCAGTCTTAGAACAGCCAACTTCTCCGGCTTAAACTTGTTATGAAGTTGGATAGATAAGAGAAAACGCAATAAAAACAAGATTACTGAGAATTCGAAAGAAGAAGATGCCGATTAACTTACATCAGTTCCCCGATGAAAAGTGAGCCTATAAATCAACTTCAGGAAACATTCCAATAATCTAAACATTGCAGTAAAAAAAATGAAATTAGGCCGGAGAAACAAAAAGGTGTTTGTATCCAGAAAAGCGCTGTGAAATTTTGAGGTTTTACGTTTACAGAGCAAGAAAACCAAGATCACATCAATCCCAAGATCCGGCGGAGTATCATTAACACTCAAAAATTCTATGAACGATAATGGGAGGAGATGCTAAAATTTTTTGGAATATGGATCCAAGGCAAAGCACATTCATTGAAGGATAGCAAAGCGACCAACCAATGGGAACGCACAACAACGGCAGAATCAGTTTTGGTTTCTGCAAGACTCCCACCGATGTCATCCTTCTACGCTGTACCAAACGCGCACTTCCACATTATTTGAGTCCTCACCTGTCGCTTGAACTGTAGAATAACAATATAAGTAGCAGAACATATCCCGTAACACAAAGGCTATTGAGTCTAGAAAATCATATGCGAAACATAACCAAAGAAAGCATAAGCATTGTTCATCAGCGAGTGCAGCACCAGTATCAAAATGGATACGACCATTGAGCTCAGAAAGCACACTTCTTTCTGACAAAGCTACTTTTGTGAGATCTCAACAACTGTGGTGCACTCTATCGAATCAACAGCGTTTTTCAGCGAGAAAAATGACCTTGCTTCATTTAAAGCGACTGGCAATGGGAAATCGTCAAGTAAGATACGATCTCGCGGTTCAGTGTCGGGATGTCCTCCTGTCAGATGCTTTACACCTCGAAATGTATCCTATATGAAGCTCTCTCTAGAATTTCGCTAAAAATGGTCGATTACGCAGTTCACGCATTTTTTACAATAATATTGAAAGCTTGTGACATAATGACGATTAAGTTAAAAATTAAACTTGAGAACTGTAAGCTGCTGATTTCACAATTCTACAAAATTGTTCGATACACCAACACAGAAATTAGGATATTTTATGATCGATGCATATTCCTTACACTACCGCGGTATGGTACATACGAAAAATGTAGGATACACATAATTTGATAGAGCATAGTAGGCCCTACAAAATGGCATTTGAATAATCGCAAAAATTCAATCCACGTGAAGTACGTTGCAAGAGCTAAAAATTCCAAGAGGCGAGGAAGGAGATGATTCTTCGGGCGCGGCTGTAGCCAAAAAAACAGACTAAAAATAAGATTAAGTTCGTCTGCTTTTCTGCTAAATATGACGTCCTTGTAAGATCCAAAAGATCAAAATCCATAGTTTTAATTGCAAGTTGTGATATAGGAATACTGATGTGGGAACTGTCCAATATCGTTAGATCACCAAATTTCGTTTTCTCAGTTTTTAAGCATAGGAAAAATATAGCAAATTACATATGAATGTCTGATGTGGACACTAGATGCGTGACCAAGCCGAAAGTTAGTAGAATTTTGATGATCTAATTTTTCGGTATCAGTACGGATTTTGGTTCCAACTTCACATGGATCGAAGTTCATTAATCAGACGCCATCTTGTAAAGCTTACCTTCCTCCATCGAATAACATATTTTCTAAATTTTACGTCTTCAGTCACGGTAGCGCGCAGTAATTGCGAACCAAACCGATCATATAGTCAGTGAATCAACGGTATAGCTGACATCTTCAGACAGATCTGATGATATTCACCGATCACGTATTTCTACCATCAAACGATAGTGCAGTTACTCAAACCGCACTTCCACAAGGTAAGCCAATCTTGACAGATGCAATGATTCGAGTACTCGAAAAGGCATCATTTTAAGGTTGAATATCAAATAATGATAGAGAGATTAGGTAGCGTTCAGTGACAATGAATATGTTCATCATTCATATCGTATAAAAACACAAAACTACGAAAAACTAGTTGCTCCCTGACCTACAATAGGTCTGCCATCAAGAAAGTAAATCACATCCAAACTTCATAACATTGCCTCGTAAATATTTAAGTCGAAGAGATTGAGTGAGCAATGGACAAACGTCATATATGTCTCAAAAGAACGCCACTCGATTATCAAGATAAGAAGATGTCGAGCCAACATTCGTTTTCGAAGCAGAGAACATCTAATTATGTTCAGTAATCTGGTCATGCTGAGCGAGTAGACAGTCCAATCAAATGCTTCCCAAGATTCATCAAGAGTAGATCAGATACGAAGAGAGAGAGAGAGAGAGAGAGAGAGAGAGAGCAATACTCGAAATCCAGAATTTTGAACACATAGGAAGAGAGAATTCTGTTGAGAAAAAAAAGTAGCCCATCGTATGATTTATTCCAAAGATACTACAATGCGATTTTTTCCCGCAAGAAAATCTAAGTAAAGACATCAAAGCAGCGCACGGCACGAGCTGGCACCAAAAAAATTTCGAAACGAAATCCCCTTTGATCCTGGACCCTAAACGTAAAAAGCCCTTAAAAACGAAACGTCAACTTAACACGTTTCGGACCGCGAAATCGCGCGCGGCAAAATTTCGTGCTGCACCATGTGAAGCACGAGGGACGCTGGGGACCGACTTTTTTCATTTGCATAATTTCGAGCTATGTTCGTGAATAAATTGCGCCAAGTGTTGTGATTCGCACTGCTCTTATGAGTACTTCCACAACGTCTTCATTTGACGTCATGTCCCATGTTTTGCAATGAAAGCGAGAGGTACTTGGCTATCCCGAAATTTGGGCCCCAAAAGTTCAGAAACGTGGATTTCTCTCAAACTTGGTACTTGGGGGTTTTCTGACCTGCTGATCACGAATATCACACTTTTTTCGCGCAAAAACGCCTTCCTGTGTGAATTAAGGTGGGTATATAGTAGGTTAGTCAAAATTCCAAATTGGTTCAAAACTTCGTGCAGGGGCTTCTTCATCATCCTAATCACATCATGATCTGGGTTATTCCTAGAAGATTCTTTTTATGAGATTCAAGTGGTCATCTACTACGGTTTGAACTAGATTTGAGGTTTTGATCTGATCCAGACTACCATATGCACTGTAACATCATAAAATAGCGCTAATTCACAAAAGTAACACAATTTTTGTGATAAGCATGCTAATTAACCCCTATAGAAAAAAAATTGCCAAGTTGTGATTCTGACGTCCGTGTAACATACCTTCGTACCTACAACCGCACAAGGAGCGTTTACGTCTTTTAGAATGGGAAAATTTCGTTTGCTTATCAGTTCTTGTATTCTCCTATGCCTTGTAACGAGAGAAAATCCCTTGAAAATGCGATTTATCCAGCTTAAAAATGAACAGCGCGAAGGTTTCGCCGCACGCGAGGTTCGCAACGCCGCGCCGATTTGCGACTGTTTACTGTTTGTCGCTGCATTGTCCGAACGAAGTGAGTTGATACAAGACCACGGTGATATATGGGACAGTAGGCTTATACCAATAGGATGAGATCATCGGCTATGAATGAAACATAATATAGGAAGCAGGAGGTGGTTGCAAATTCGGTGATTCACCATGTGCAGCACCGGTCCGAAACGTGTTAAAAAACGTTGCAATTTTTGCGTCTTCTCGGCCACAAAACGATACCCCCTATGCTTTTTGTCTCAAAAATATCCAGCTTGTACCACCTGTACCGAGCCCTGCATCAAAGTCATTTCTCTTCTAATCGAAAACGCTTAGATGATGCACGTGTGTGGTGTGACAATAAGACCGCTGCTATCATCTACAAGGAAGGACCTACTCACCTTGCTTACCCATTCAAATGGCTAGCCCTCCAGAACTGAAGATTATCAGAAAACTGCGGGGATGTAGAGACTAGCTGACAATGACCTCCGGTCATCACAAAGGTGGAATTCAGTTGTCATTTGAGCTTCGCGGCACTGAGAAAGACGTTGAATTTTGCTAATTCTGATACTGCGTATCATACACTGTGGTGTATTATCACAAAATTCCAAGACTACATATAGCTCAACGGAAACTATCAAGTTTTGGATAACAATCTAACCAGTCTACGAGCAAAAGACAGAGATTTTCAATGAGAGACAGATATGAGGAAGAGAGCGTTCATCACATAGAGCATTATAACGCAAGGAGAAGAGTAGAATTTCGAAAAGTACGTAAACGAAGTGCTTTGGCAATGAGAAAAAAGATCGCTTCAGAAAGGGTTTTCAGTCTGATCCATGAACAGCGGATATTCAAGATGATGCGACTAATTCAGGAGGAAAACAAGCACACGAACTTACATTGGTGGAAGACGCGTGTTGTTCGACAACTGGTTCTTCGTCGTAATCCAACTCATATTCTGTAATAAGACCAGTGAATGACTCGTTCACTTTATATAGATTGCTCGAACATTGACAATGCGTGATATTAAGCGATTAAGTCAAAGCAAACGAAAGGAATGAATATACATTGATCTTCAGCATTTCGGAAATTTAGTACGCTCGCTTCATCGTTAGATCGATGAGAGTCAAATGAACTTAATTGGCAAAGATTCAAAGCCAATCTGATTCTCTCATCTAACACTTTGAATCAAGGCTCTGTTCCAAACGTCGTTGTCACCTAATGTGTAATAAAAAACTCAAAGCTGAAAAAAAACAAACAAAGAAAGCATTACCTTCAGTGGTCATTCTATATTCAGATCCGTAGTTTTCTGTCCAATATGAGCAGATTCTTGCTGACTCTGAATTAAACAGTTGAGTCCATTCAAACAGAATAAGTTAAAGAAAATTCAAGGCTCAATTTTGAGTTGCATTGAAATGCACGCGCGAAAAAGGATTTGTACCAATGTACGCAAATGCGCGTGCACACTAATACGCCTATTCTACGAGCAAGGCATTGACACAGTGGGTTTGGGATCGGTGTGCGACTCCGACTCTGTGGTTTCAGTGTGCGCTGAGATGATATTCGTGTTCTTCTTCTGCATCGTTAGTGTGATACTATGGGGCGTCTTCATAACGACTGGCTACCTCTGCTACATCGTGCGACATTCCAATCGGGGACACAGAAAGCATCTGCTCGATCCCAAGGTGGGCACTGTATCGCTGTGTTGTGTGCTTGGTTCTGGTGGCCACACAACTGAAATGCTGGAGCTGCTGAAGCACATGGGAACTCAGTATACTCCGCGCTGGTACGTCGTAGCAGACACGGACCACATGAGCAAGGACAAGGTAGGGTTAAGCACTTATTCGAAGATATTCCATGCCGTTTGATTGTCAGGTGCACTAATCTCGAACGAAAGAGACATTTGCCTCTTGGTGTTCAAACGCCCACCTTCATATCTTTTGTCAGTCTCTTAAGCATGCACCATACCTAATCCACTTGATTCGCTTGATCTACTTCATCCACCGCTATTGGTCAATTTACCGACCTGACCGATATCGAAGTCGAGATCCCTTGACACTTCGCTATCGGCCAGATCAGTTACTGACAAATAGCGGAGTGGATCAGTGTCTCTCCAGAACTCGTTTTCCATTTTTTCACCTTTTCGGAGCTTTCTCGCCATACGGAATCCATATTTGGGCTATAGCGCATGAAAATGGTGAAAATGAGCTTCTTTTTACAGGTCCACTTCAGTGAAGGTACGCCGGAAGTCTTTCGTCGCCTCCCTCGTTCCGGCCCCGCGCACATACACGTATTTTCCGCTGATTGCGGACCTGGAAAGCTTTGAGAAGCTCATTTTCGCCATCTTCATGCGTTGAAAAGCCCAGATATGGATTCCACATGGAGAAAAGGCTCTGCACAGATGAAAAACTGGAAGACAAAATTTTGCCGAGACACTGCCTTTGAAGGCAGCGTCCAGGCAAATCTCGACCTATGGGGATTTCACGTGGAAACTAATTTTGGGGCCCACTAAGGCATTGCCCTAGCGGCAGCGGAAGTGACTCACAAACGGCTGAGATATCTCCAAACTGAACCGTAGGATCGTACTTCGCATGGATCCATGGAGCAGCCCCTCATTTTCGCGCAGGACCCACGCGAAACTGATGGGTTGCGCCATGAATTCATGCGAAATACGATTCTGGTTTCCAGTTTCGAAGGGAATATCTTAGCCGTTAGAGCAGTACCTGAGACTGGGTTCATACTGATCCGTAAGTAATTGCGCTGTGCTGGAACTGTTGTGGAACTTACGGATTAGTATGAACCCAGCCTGAGCTGCCGGCGGCGGTGGCTTAGTTACAAGTATGGCGCGCACCCTACACAGTCTAAACGGTCAGTCTGGTGCAAATTCAGTTTTAGATTAAGCGTTTTACCCCACGGCGTGTGCTCCGCAGTGATGTCCAGTCCGTGCGGTCAACGAATTAACAATACTTTTGAGTTGGTGACAGCTAGAGAAATCGCGCCTTTTACTGCGAGACCTAATTTTCATTGCTAGCATGAGTAAGTCGTGTAATCAGTCGCACGTGATTACGCTAATCATCAGAACTTGAAAGTTGTGAGAATCTCGTTGTCACAAGTGGGAGCGTCACCCCATCCGAAATGTGTCACTAATTGTATCTTTCCGCTTACTATTCCGATATTTTACAGAGAGAAGTTTGTAATCTTTGTAAATTTTGCAGATTACTGATGATGACATTTTAGTCCAGTTTAGCTTTCTAAAGATACGTAAAAGTGTTTCACAGGTAAAATGTGATAGACTCCACTTTGAGCACATCGGCCCGGAGTCTGCTGCGTGTTGTCGTGTTTGCATTTATTTGATGGTTTCAGGCGCTTGAATTTGAGAAAACATGCGCGAACCACACATTCCACATTTGCACAATTCCACGGAGTCGTGAAGTTGGCCAAAGCTTTGTGACTAGTGTTCCGACCACTTTGTACGCCTTTATTCATGCTTTACGTTTGGTTTGGAAAGCCAAGTGGGTCACTGCTTTCTCGTTCGGAACATGGATTAGCTTGAATTATCTTCCAGTCCTGATCTTCTCCTAGTAAACGGTCCAGGAAGCTGCATCCCTGTTGTCTTTGCCGCTGCTCTTTTCGATATGGTGCGGTTGCGAGATACAGTTATCATTTACGAAGAGTCACTTTGTCGCGTTGAAAGTTTATCTTTGTCAGGTTAGTCAGACTGTCCACCTCTTGATTACTTCATTTTTTTAGATAATATATAGTAAGTATTAACATCGCCCAGATTTCGCTCGAAAGTCTAGCGAAAGGTTTTGAAGGCGTCTAACACCACTCAAATTTTTTGGTCTCTCTTCACATTTTTCCATCTCTCCTCACAACGTTTCGCGCTAACCTAAAAGCGCTAGGCCAGCATGAAACGTATGTGAGTAGTGACGGAAAGTTGCGAAGAGAGATCAAAGAAATTTGAGCGCTTTTTAGCGAATTCTGGCCGAAGTGTGCCTTTCCTTTTCTTGAAGATGTTAAAAGTTATAAATCCAGCAACATTAATGCTAATTTTCAATTACTATTTGCTCTGCTTCATTGGTTTCATAGACTGAGAAATGCATCTAAGTGTGATTTACAGGGTCTATCCTTTACTTCCTCGGTTTGACTGACGACATTGTTGTTCAATGGAAGCAGCTCAAAGAAAAATACCCAAGAACTACTTTGATCAGTGATCTGCAGTAACTTTTTTATTGCGCCATATTTCTACACGTACGAGTTTTTAATTTTGAATATTCTGCCTAATTTTTCTAGTCCCATAATGTTTTGCTGGTGCTTTCTAAGTGCAGTTTGCCTTGAAGTCACTGGCTCGGGAATATTGCGATTGCGAGCTTTGCACACTCACATGGCGTTTTGGATGCGCTGAGACCAGTGCTGTGCTTGAAATGTCTAAAAAAGTGCTTATCACGGCGTTTTCCTAACTTGGAGATAGCTGGAGGGGATGGGCGAGGGATTCCTGCCAACATCGCAATGGCTTCCGAGGCAATAGCCAGTTACCGCCAAAAAATAGGTGGAGTTACAGTCCCCTGCAGCTGATCGCTGTTTATGGCAGGAGTCCCTCGTCCATCCTCCGCCTATGGCCCCGGTCAGACTTCACGCGACTTAATCGTCGCGATCTAATCGCCAAGATTTCCATTCATTTTCATTTCACATTCAAAAATTTCGGGTTGGAAAAGTATCACAACCGAATGCAAGTTGATCGGCATGAATGATGTTGTAACAGTTGTCTCGTCGCGACTCAGTCGCGACGATCAAATCGCGTGAAGTCTGCCCGGGGCCTATCTCCACGATAGGAAAACGCAGTACAAAGGTCTTTTTGATTTTCAAGCACAGCACTGGACTCAGCGCATCCAGAAGGCCATATAGGTGCGGAAAGCTCGCCGTCGCAATTTTTCCGAGCACCGCATTTTACTTACAACCTCATGTAATGTTGCACCAAGTTTTAGTACTGAAACGATACTTTGCTGATTTTGTTTTATACCTGTTTTAGGTGACGTACATATCGCTTATCTCGGTTGATTGTATATGTGCTTTCTAGCCTGTATCCGCTGCGGACTTTCTCATGTCATTTACTTGCCGGTTGCAATCTGCTGTACATTTGACCAATAAACATCCGTTTATTTTTTCGATTTCTGCAAATATTCAAATTCTATAAGTTTAACGTATAGTTTCTGTAGGTTATCGATGATGAATGAGCAAGTTGTTTGAGTGCGTACTCAGCCAGCTTCACAGTGTTTGTTCTTGTAACAAAGGCTTCTGGAACGGGATTATGGATATTAAGGTTTTTGCAAACAACGAATTTGCATGACAATGATAAGCTTTGCAATCAGTGTTCAAGAGGGCTTTGCATGGAAATGGTCAGATGAAGTGGCTGTCAACAAGATGTACCGGCGATTCAGAATATGCAAAGACTGGGCGCCCTTGCGTCCGAGCAAGGTAGCTCGTCATGGGAGAGGCAGCAGATGGTAAGAGAAACGAAAGAGTGCTTGATTACAGAGACGTAGACGAGTCCGCAGTCTTAGCGTGCTACGAATCGCCTACATGTCTGTTTATACAGCGTAGAATGCTGTCTAAATCTACTTTTCTACATGTTGAATCCTTCCGATGACGAAGTTAAAACCACCATCTGGGAGAAATATCCTGTATGCAGTTTTAACGTATAGAGAGAATTTTGCTTGGCCGGCAAAGTCCCATAGTTGCCTCAACGTGGTGCCAGTCGGCAACGAGACTAAGGCCCGTATGCACGTACATCCCCGCGGGGAGGGGATGTGCGCTTAACCTTGAAATGATCCCCACTGGGGATCCCCTCCCCTCCCCGCGCGAACCCCCGTATGCACAAAGACAATATCGTACAAGGGATCCCCTGTGGGGAGGGGAAGTGAACCCTCTTATGCACAAGAGGGGATCAAGCGGGGAAATCACCTTGCTTTCAAATTTTCTATGAAAAACTCTTTCTTATTTCATATTTTGACTGCAACTCATCTTCATCTCCTCACTTTAATTAATTTAGGGGTTGCGGAATGTGCGTATGCGGTGACTGCGCTCGGGGTGCTAAAAATGATTTTTTCTACTCCCATTATGTTCCTGCTTTCTTGGATTCTGCCCACTTTCGTTCATGCTGCTCCATTTCAGCGTCAAAATGTTGAACTATAGAAGTTGATGTGTCTCTGCAAGGGAATGGGCAGAAGACGTTATGCTGCCGAAAAGGGAAATCAGGTTAAAGGCAGCGTCTCGGCGTATTGACAACTTTGGATATCCATCGTTCTCGTTTCCCTGGATGAACTTAGTCCAAGATTGTGCTTTGCAGCTTCAAAAGATATCAATAAGCCGCTTTTCCAGACTTGGAAAGTGCTATTTGGGCGGGCAGCGTAAGCCCGCGCTCTGGAGCACATTGGCTCATGAGTACGGTGGATGCGGTATCTCCACTCACGAACCAATCGCGCTCTAGAGCGCAGGCTTACGCGGTCCGCCCAAATAGCGCTTTACACGTCTGGTAAACCGGGTTATTGACATCTTTTGAAGCTCGAAGCGCAGTCGTGGACTTAGCTCACCCAGGGGAACCGAGAACGATGGATATCCCAAAGTTGTCATTCTGCAGCCGCTGCCTTTAAAGGCAGTGGATCGGCAAAACCCAACAACTCGGGATTTCAACGCGGTAGGTTTCTTATCGCCCAAGTATGAGAACAGTGCAATCCCGACTGCACAGTTGCTTTCCCTGCCAAGAAAATCGCTCTCAAATTACACGCGCAGGCCAATCCTACACGCATCTGGACGAGTTGGCAATTTCCTTCTTACCATTGGAGGCTGCCCGCCGCAGGCGCCATCTAAATCTACTTAAGCGGCTGCGCGGGCGGTCGCGTGCGCGCCATTAACGCGTGCCGGGACCAAGGGCTCGCTTGCGTCAGTGCTGCCACTTTCAAGAGTTGTTGCTGGATTTTTTGCTTCAGCATACGATGATCAGTGTGCTCAATAGATCTAGGCTTCTTTACTGTTGACTGGTTGCGCGCTTTCGATGCTTCAAAGTTACAGGTGTTGCAGCCACCTTTGGGTTTGCGCGGATGGTACTCGATTGCCTTTCGGTGATAAAATTGAAAGATTCTTCTCCACCAGTTTGCATTCTTCAGTCTTATTCGAGACATGTTTGATATCGGATGCATATAATTTGAAGCTCATAAGAACACTTGAAAGTTCTCACCAAAAGTAGAACTATGCGATGATTTGACTGTTTCCGCTCGACATTACATACAGCACGATGTTTTTTGAATAAATAGAATCAAAGTTTTGCCTATAAAATTTTTTCCTCAAAGCAGAGCCTCATTTTGGATCCAATCTTGAATGCTGTTAAGTTGATACGACCACCCGAGATGAGCTCGTCACCCAAATCTAGTTTAGCGTGGTCATACAACTTTCACTGACTATCAGATATATCAATGTGTAGAGCAGTAGGGATGCTGCACCTGACTTCGCATTTTCTTGTTTAACAAAGTTACGTTAAGAAAGAAGTAACTAAAAGACTGGGAGATTCAAAAGCAACATGCGTATGGCATAGGCTGAAATAATCGATCACTCAATACGAGATAGCACGGTATCAGTAGCGTAAGTTTACAAAGCATAGCAGCATCTTTACGGAGGCTCAAGTTTTGACCGACCCTAAAAAGGCCTAAGTGCTTTAGGCAGCTTGGATAGTTATTGAGTCTTCCACTCCATCAATATATACGATGCAAAAGAACATTTTTCCTGATAATCGGAATGCAAAAGAGGTTATGAAAAAGGTTATACTGCAGGGTCAATTCGCAATGCATGTGGTTAAAAATGTTGAAAAACAACCACAAATGAAGTACTGATCCTATTTCGCGCAAGACATCAACTCTTAGAAAAAGAAAGTTACATATTGTGTTAAGTTTTCAGTGTAAGCTGCATTAAGAGTTTACTCAACCGTCCTAGCTGAAAAGGTAGTCCTTTCCAACAGCAGTAAAGCTATTAACACTGATTACGAAGTGAAAACCACTCAAATATCGCAACACTTCTCGAACATCAATGCCAGCAGCGAGCAAGCCCTTGGTCCCGGCACGCAGTGATAGCGCGCACGCAACCGCCCGCGCAGCCATTTAGGTAGATTTAGATGGCGCCCCCGCCGCAACGCTATAACCATTGGGTCCTGACACGATTTAGCGTCATCGGCCTTGCTTCACTCGTCCAATTCCAAAGGGAAGGCATTAAAAAACGCTAATTTTCGCCGTTTCCAAGCTTTCAAAAGTAGGGTCAGCGTATTGAAAAACCCCAGGTAAGCGCAAATTTGACTAGGTTGAGATTTGCCGAGCTACTGCCTTTAAGGACATCGGCAGGCATACCGTCTTTACCACATCGGATACAACATCCGCCATAACGGAGTAGCGATCAGCATTAGCGGGAAATACCGCGAGTTGTGAACAAAGTGATGCGTATTTCGGACAAATGATGGCCAACAATACTGTAGCAGAGCTTACACTCCGAGTAGTAAAGCGCTACGCCCCGCAACCCGTATGCACCGGTGCTGATTGTGAAAAGATGTTTTAGAGGGACATCGACATCTTATCAAAGGGCTCTATGTGATCGCAAATGTCGGTAAGTTAGTGGCCGTTGCACACTCAGGATGCTACAAGGTTTAGTTGAAACCGAGTATTTTTCGAATATTCGCATTCGAATGATATTCGAATTAGAGAAGTCGAATATCCAGGAAAGTGCATTTATTTGATTATTCGAATAGTCGAATAAATGAAAAAGACTTTTATTCGAGTATTTGTTTATTCGACGAATCGAATAGAAACTAGAAAGAACTAGAAAGAGTGCAAAACTGCTTTACAAGGAAATTATTGATTAGAACCAAAGGCCTCAAATACGAACTTTTACCCAACGGAAAGGATCGAAATAAAATCTTGGGGTTGGTCAGCCTGTGCAATAGAAGAAGAAAGCTTGATCTTATTATGGCTCACAAAATATTATTCGGAGATTGCCAACTTAATCCCGCCAACTTCTTTGAGACTAGAAGTTCTATTACTAGAGGGGGACCTCAAAAAATGGTAATACCAAGAGCAGGGAGGAATGTGAGAAGAAAATTCTTTACAAACAGAGTCAGCGGATATCTAGATAAAATGATGAGAAAGGGTATGCTTCCTCTAAAATTGTCACAGTTTAAAATGATTCTTGAGAACTATCTTCTTTCGCCATAGTTCCTTATATGATTGTTAGGCCTTTCGAGTTTGTTGTGTTGATTTGTGTTGTTTATTAGATTTTGTGTTCTGTTGTGTAATATGCATGGGACATTCCTACGCAATAAATAATAATAATAATAGAATAAACAACTTACTCGATTATCTGTATGTTCGAATAATCGAACAAAATTTCGAATATGTTGTTTTTGCGAGTCGTTGACTAAACGAATCTTTGAATAAAAGTGTTTTTCATCTAATCGCTTACCCGAGTAATCAAATAAGTGCACTTTCCTAAACATTCGACTTCTCTAATTCGAATAAATCATTCGAATGCGAATATTCGAAAAATACTCGGTTCTAACTATACTACAAAGTCTCAAATCAGTTAAACAATCTCGTACTTTTTGAAATCGTTCCAGGTAATTGGAAGTTCTGATGGCAGAAAAGGTTTGGAAGGAAATAGATTGCTGAATAATTCCAATGCACGTGCAATGTGGACGCAAACTCACTGACTCTCGCGAGCACGCAGATCCCTATACTTACATTCGATGCCGCAGACTACATCTGCATATTAGCGATCTTAAAGGACACGTTGGCCATGCATGATGGCTTTAAGAGTAAAGTCATGGTGGAAATGAATACAGTCAATAGAAGAGACGGTGAACGCCTTCTAGAAGCTGTCGAAGCACACGACTTAGCTGTTGTGAATACATTCTCCGAAAGGGTGAATCACATTTGATTACATAGGCAAGTGGGGACAGCTCGACTCAGATCCACTACTGGATGTTGCGGATACCATCTGCCGGTAGTGTACACTAACTCATGCCTAGCGACACATGCGTTTGCGCCACAACATTGTCTGCTCGTGCTGGATCTTCGAATAAGTATCTATTGCATTTACGAGCCAGCACGGCGAGGACATAGATGATTAAGTGGTAAAAGCTTTCTGAGCATTGCCAGCAAGTCAAAGAAGCTTTTAGCGCTCTGGAATTATCTATTGATGTGGAGGGAATAATTGAAAACCAATAGAATCGGATTAATTTGCAGGTATATCGAGGACCGAAGAAAGTTTGGAAAACATCCAGCCAGTACAGTCTGCCCGATCCCATCAGGCCAAAATTGGCATGGCGAGAGTCCGCATCGCGTTTACGGCAGCTAGTCTGCTCTATCCTCAATCTCTTCGGTCTCTGCGACAGCGCGCGTACGCAGCGCAAACCTCTAGCGCTGCAAGTGCGCAAATCCAGCCGACTGTTTGGCCTGATATTTGGCAGAATGCACGCCTATCGTCAAGGGCATTGTGGTAGTGCGAGTAGGTCCACCAAGTGATTAAGAAGAGGAAGAAAGCAGGACCTAACAACGCTCTAGCAAACGTTTCTTTCCTGTCATTAGAACCTAAGGGCTTCGCGCTGTTTGCACCTCGTTTTGGCCATACTTCGCTGACTGGCACGATATGGTTGAAGGCAGTGTCAGTGTCCGTACAAAAACTCGTTCTCTAGCTTTTATGCTTGCCTAAGTCTATCCGCTACGCTGAACTAAAAACCCGAGTTAGGAACTTCGAGAACTGCGAGGCTATTCCCAAAACCCTTATTATGAATTTGAGCAAGCAAGCAGTTCAAGCCAAGGCTAAAGAGTTCCTGTGACTCAGTGGCCTTAACCCATTGACCGACGCCTAATTTTGCGCGGCGGCGCTGTGGGACGACGCGATTTTGCACAACACTTTCAGTGTGGGAAGGTTTCGTGCTTATTTACGAAATGCAAAATTGTTTTGTAAACAACTATCAACATTTTCTTGAACGACAGAGCCTATAGGTCCTAAGAATACAAAAAATTGGAAAAATATTCATATGTGGAAAAAATACTAGACCTGCAAATAATACGACTTTGCGAGAGGTGTGGGCCATCGGGGGTCCACATCGTCCCTGGCAGCAAAAGGCGCGTAGGCCACCGGTGGTCCACATCGTCGTCAATAGGTTAAATGGCGACGGGGGCCAACCTGGACAAACAACGAGTGTTGTACTGGTGCATCTTTTGGCAGATTGTTTTCTATCATGAGTTATTGGCAGTCAATAACGAATGCTAATTAGAGCGTGCTTCTTTTGGCTGTTTTCTTCATTCATGAATTATTGCCAATCAATAACCGATCTAATTAGTGAAGCGCGACTGTCATACCCCGGGGACAGACGCCGATGAGAGATCGGAGTCTTAGAGATAGAGAGGGGCGTGGCCCAAAGGCTCTCTGGGGATCGATTTGGATCCAGTGGAGTGGGTGTGGCCACGTATACCCAGGGGACAGACGCCGATGAGAGATCGGAGTCTGAGAGATAGAGAGGGGCGGAGCCCTAACTAAGGTGGTCCATGTCTACAATTTGAGCCTAGATTATTCAGTCTCATCTGTTGCACTCACCGAATTTGGTGGTGCTCTCGTCTAACTATTCTTTTGTTCTACATTATTTCCTTGTGTCAAGTAATCTTTTGTAATAAAGATTATTTAATCAGTAGTGTCTGTTGATCACATTTGAAATTGTCGTTGTTTCGACAAGTATCGCGAATTGCGAACTGAGCCATACAAGAAACCGACTTGGGGGCCGAGCCGGTGATCAACTTACACGACTGATTCTTGTTGTTGCGGAATTCCAAAAATGGATTCATTCATGGAGCAACCCCAAACAAGCGGACACGCCACGCCAGCACCACACATCCCCACAAGCCAGGACAACTCATTGAGTAACTGGAATTCACTGGAAGTGAATGATAGTCAAATCGATAGGATATTGACTTTTATGGGGGATTTGTTGGATAGCCAAATTAGGCGTCTCTCACGCTCGAAGCGAGATCAGATAATGATTTCGATGCGCGAGAGGTTGCAAGTTGACCTCGAGGGGAACTTGGGCCATAAAGGTAACTCGCACTCCACTCTTTGTGAAAAATTCCAAATGAGTGTTGAGGAATTGCTTGAGTATATACCTATGGCCAGTTCCCATAGCCAGATGGTAGTGAGGTTAGGGGCTAGGCTCGGGTGTGATTTTGATGACGTAGAGTCGGTGATCGAAGGCAAATTAGCGATTGTCACAGAGTTAGAGAATAGGCTAAAGGTCCTGCGCTCTGAAGTAAAGCAGGAAGCTTTAAGAAGCGCAAAGAGGGAAGAAGCCTTATTGGCACGGATAAAAAGGCATCAGGATCTAGGAGATTCCTTGCCTGGACCCTCGCAGGCAGAGCCTATGTTTATGGAGACTCCGACGGGACCCGATGTACGTCGTAGAGATGAGAGTTGGCGTGCTGTGCGTGAACAGTACAGGTCACTCAAAAAGCTAAGCGTTGAGGATAACCTCCGCGATGCACCCCGATGTCACGCAAAGGGCACTGAATGGCGTGAATGTCGTCAGCGAAAGTCGCGCTGTTCGTCAAGTACCTCTTTGAGAAGTTCTCCGTCAACGTCGACGATCGGTGGGTCCGTATTAGTCATGAGCGGTAACAATGGCAATGACCACTCAGAGCGAGCTACTGCAGACATATTTAGTATGTTCAGAGAGGTATTTAAGGCACAGAGTGTTGCCAGTGTACCCAACTACACAGGGAAAAATTCCCTCAGCGACTTCCTACGAGCTCTGGAAGTGAAATTCCCGCCAACGGTGTGGCAGGATGCCGATCGTAGAGATATCTTAATCAATCATTTGGAAGGCACAGCCAAGGCGGTTTATAGAACTTTACCGCGAAGTGTGCGGGAAGGTAGCTTCAAGGATTTAGTGGGAGCACTTGAGCTGGCACGCAAGAATCCCTGCGATCGCTTGAAGAATATCAGAGAATGGGACACGCTTTCGAAAAGAAGTGATGAGAGTGTGGTAGAGTTCTGCTGCCGTATGGAAGACCTCTCTAGGAGAATACATCCTAGCTGCGAATGGGACTTCATACGCGGGTCCAAGCTGTATTCATGCTTGGAAAGCTGGCAGGATTCGTACCATATGCTTGCTGCGTTAGACGCACCGGAAGGAAAGGTGTATGAGGCAGTCAAGAAGGTTGCCAGGAGGCTAGAAAAGCTTCAAGAAGATGTGGCAACGCACACCAACGACTTTCATGATCGTACCAGCAAGTTGAGTGACTATCACAAGAAGGCCAGATATGAGGGGGGCAGACCCTCAACCCGCAATAAGTGCTTCGAAAGTACAGATAAAGGCGCAGTGAGATGTTTCTCGTGTGGTGAGGTTGGCCACATAGCCTCAAAATGTGGTAGAACCATGAGCGGAAGCGGTGAAAGGTCTGATCAGCGTGGCAGCAATGCCGTAGGAGGGATAACCCCCGCTGATGATGTTGAGGGATGGTGCAGGACCGTCCGAGCCAATAGTGCTAAGGTAGACGCGAGCCCCAAGGAAGGCAGACCGTCATCGCAAAAGTGCATTAGCAACCCAAATAAAGGCCCACTGAGATGTTTCTCGTGCGGTAGGGTTGGCCACATAGCCTCTAAATGTAGGAGAAGAAGTACAAATGGGCCCTCATTGCAAAGAAAGTGCTTTAGAAATCCAAATAAAGGCCCACTGAGATGTTTCTCGTGTGGTAGGATTGGCCACATAGCTTCTAAATGTAGTAGAAAAAGTACAAATGGGTCGTTAGAGCGTTTCCAACAAGGGAACGAGAGAGGTGGAAAAGGTCAGCCTGGCGGAAATGCCGTAGGAGGGATCAACCTCGCTGATGATGTTGATGGATGGTGTATGACCGTTCGACTCACCCCTCCTAGTTTAGACCCACCTGCGGAAGCCATGGGAGAACTATGTATTTGCAGCGCAAATGCTCGCAAAAGATCAAGATTACGACGCAAGCCAGGATGTCATCGTAACAAAACAAGGACCGTGAATGTTCGAACAAATGCAGTTTGGAAGGACAATGTTTCAATGTTCGACCAGTCACCACAAGGATCATCCTGCAACTAGTTCCTGCTCTGAAGAATCTCTAAGTGATCACATTGTTAGTGTTTTTCCTGTTAGTCGTCACCAAGTTCTTCTTTGTTTATAATCATTAGCCATTGCAACTGTATTGTTTCCATGTAGTACCTTTCTCTTTTTTTTTGCTGGCGAACCTGGGAGTTCAGTGTTCAGTTTTTCTCCCCAAGTCGCAAAGATCGGAGTCACATGTTTTTTTTGCCAAAGAAAGTAATATTGCGGACTGCATAGGTGCGATGGGGTGAGCAAAAGCTCACCCCCCCCCCCCTTCACTTTGGAGGTCGGACCACCCCCCCCCCTTCACATGAAAGGGACGAAAAAAATTTTTTAAGGTGAAGAATTACTGCACACGGAATTACAAAAATATTGAATGAAAAAATGCATTTTTAGAAGGATCGGATGTTGTAAAAATGGGTTCGAACTACAACGATATGGGCAGCGGGCAATGGCAGACATTAAGAGGCTTGAAGGGCGCTGATGGACAGCTTTATTGGAAAATTTTGATGTGAACGATGTTAATAAGAGCCATTGATCATGAATTTTTTTGCAAATGAATTGTTTTATCGGTATTTATGTGCTATAATAAAAGAATTTGTTGTTCATTTGTGTTTACTTAGAGCATAATAAAAATATAGAGTCCAGAATAATGATAAAAATAGTATAAATGATGTCAGGAGAAATTTCTAGGGCAGTATAGTTGAAATCACAGTGTTGGTCATTTTTAAGGAAAGTCAGTTTTTGAGTTAGTATAACTTAAGTCACTTGCATAATATCATCTTGCGAGAGTACAGGCGTTAGTAAGTAACCTTTCCTCTATCATATAGAAAAAAAAAACTGGATCCTAAAAAGAATTCCTCTTAGAGTTACGAAGTCGCAAATAGAGCAGAAAACACAACTCCAAAAATCGATTTTTCGCAAATAACTTGTGTATATGTGAACGAATTTGAGATGCGAGGGTATAGGTAGATTCTAATCTTCAAGAGCTCTCGATTGATATATAGCATGTGGGGGTCCTATGTTTTTTAAGCCCTGCGAGGGTGGGTGAGCGGCCTCAGTTCAAGGTGCTCACCCCCCGCCACCTTAATGCATTAGAGAGGCGCCGGGAGGTGAGCAGGCTCAACTGAGACTGCTCACCCCCCTCGCAGGGCTTAAAATACATATTACCCCCACATGTTATATATCATTCGAAAGCTCTTGACGAGACGAATTCATCTTTACTATCGCCGTGTTGATTTATTCACTTATACAAAAGTTATATTAAAAAAATCGATTTTTGATGGGTTTCTTTGCAGCTTCATATCTCGGCGACGGGGGCATTCCATGCTACACTTTTTTTTGCATCTTACAGAGGGAGGCTTATTGAGTCTTAGTTATACCCTCGCAGAGAGATCGGATATATTGAAGGAGAGTTACAGCAAGGAATAAAAGGCGCTTGAAAAACACAGGTAAATTTGGAATTTGAGTTAGTCGGTCTCATGGAATCTCTTTGCGAGGGTATAGGTAACACTAAATGGACCTCCCTCTTGAAGAAGCAAAAAAAATTAAATCATGAAATGCCCTCACCGTGGAGATATGGGGCCCTGACCTGGAGGGGGGGGGGGTACCGTTGGACCTCTGGGAACTATCTCACCTGGTAAAGATATTGAACCTCACAAATTATATATCGCTGTATAGCTTTTAAAGGCTAGAATCCGAATCTAGCTTAAAATTGGCTTTAGCCCATTTATACAAGAGTTATACTGGAGAGCGATCTACTGCTAATTACTCGCGTTAGAAATGACCTTGCCTCAATTATCGTCAACATCGTAGCTTCAACTTTACTGCCCTAGGGGATTTCTCCTGACATCAGTTACACTAGTCTTACCACTGTGCTACACTGTGTATGTTATTCTGCTTTAAGTGGACACAGTTGAGAACAATTTTTTTATTGTAGTCCATAGATACCGACTTACGGATTTATTAACAACAATAATTCCTAATAATCGAGGAGCCTCTTATTAACATTATCCACATTTGTAAGTTCCGGACTTCATTCAGCACTTTCCAACCTTGAGTATCTGCCATTGTCCATTGCAATTTTCAGTCGAAATCACATTACAACATTACACGTTCTACCCACCTGAACATGCATTTTCTTACCGAAAATGTATGAAAATGAAATAATATTTATTGAAAACAAAGTACTTGTAAACATTTCACTAAAATCCAATTTAGAAAATTTGATCATTTATACCGGATAATTTTATAATTTTGACCATTTTTTTCACCAATTTTTCAATCCTTCCCCGTCGACGCTTAAAATTTTTCAGTTCCCCTCCCCCCCGGTCGACGCCGGCACTTTACAGACACCCTTCACTTTTGAGGGTCAAAATCAGCTGCGACACCCTTCACCTTGGAGGGACCCCGCTCACCCCATCGCACCTATGGCGGACTGCAATATGGTAAAAAAAATTTGCTGGAAGCATGTGAGAGTTCAGAGAAGCTGGGCTCAGTCTCATACAGTTTTTTTTGTTTACGATACTGAAAAGTATTTCTCCAGAGGTGAGAAGTTATTTTATGCTGTTAAGCGCAGTGGAAGCGCTTAGTTCTGAGGGGACCCCCATGTTGTACTAGTGCATCTTTTGGCAGATTGTTTTCTATCATGAGTTATTAGCAGTCAATAACGAATGCTAATTAGAGCGTGCTTCTTTTGGCTGTTTTCTTCATTCATGAATTATTGCCAATCAATAACCGATCTAATTAGTGAAGCGCGACTGTCATACCCCGGGGACAGACGCCGATGAGAGATCGGAGTCTTAGAGATAGAGAGGGGCGTGGCCCAAAGGCTCTCTGGGGATCGATTTGGATCCAGTGGAGTGGGTGTGGCCACGTATACCCAGGGGACAGACGCCGATGAGAGATCGGAGTCTGAGAGATAGAGAGGGGCGGAGCCCTAACTAAGGTGGTCCATGTCTACAATTTGAGCCTAGATTATTCAGTCTCATCTGTTGCACTCACCGAATTTGGTGGTGCTCTCGTCTAACTATTCTTTTGTTCTACATTATTTCCTTGTGTCAAGTAATCTTTTGTAATAAAGATTATTTAATCAGTAGTGTCTGTTGATCACATTTGAAATTGTCGTTGTTTCGACAAGTATCGCGAATTGCGAACTGAGCCATACAAGAAACCGACTCGAGCACAATCTCGTTAGATAAAACGCGTGAGATCAGAAACGAAAAAGAACCGTTCAAATATCTCTATTGAACACTGCCGTCAAGTATCTTACAACACCACATGCTACTGTAGCAAAGCAGCTTTTTCTACAAAAGTACAAGAATATTTTAGACAAGCTCACTTCCTTCGGGGACATAGACCTGAGAACATAGCGGCTTCGGTCTTCTATGACCTGTAAGAAAGTATTTTAATGATCAATACTTGAGTGGCTTGAAAAATCAAATTTGTAATTTGAAGAAATCTTCTAAAACAACTTGCATTGCCTTGAAATACAGGGTGCGTCAAAAGTCTGGAAGCCTGGACCTTTTTTCGATATAATTAGAAGGAAAGGACCTAGAAATAAGTAATTTGGCCCACGCATAACTCAAAGTATCACAACTCTAGCCTATCTCACAAATTTTGAAAAAGCCTCTTTGGCTTCAGCGCAAGCCTTCAGAATCTTGGCTAATGCAGCTGTCGCGGCAGCAGGTAGTCGTAATGAATTTCATCCCACACCACCACCACAACAATTGCTTCTTTCACTTAAAAACTGCGCAGCATGATAGAGCAAACTTTTGTCTACAATATTCTTTGGAGAAAGTTTTCTGCAAAGTTCGGTGATAAAAATATTGCAGTTTCAATTGGAGGCATGCATAGCATACCGTTAATTTGAATACGACTGTTTGGGAAGAAAACGGAAAATTAACATCTAAGAAGCATAAAATATGTTTCATCAATCAAATTTGAACAGGTGCTTATATAGACTAATGGAAAGAAAATAGCCTTGTTTGCAGTGACTGCTGCGTTCTCCTTGCTTCTAAATTTGCTAAAAAGATAGGAGGCACTGGCACGCCCGGCAACATTCGCAAATTCTTATTTTTCCTTCTCGAAAAAATTGCTAATGACGAACGCAACTGGTAACATGTAGTAGCGCAAAGCCTCCTCTACATTGTAGGCCCTGTAATTTTCGCTGTTTCCTATGAAATAAATTGTAAACATCAAAATTTTCGAGTTTTGGCTTTGCAAAAGTACTAGTTTGATTCAATCCTTTATTACAAAAACATGTGCCAATTCTTTTGAGCTCAAAAAGATGTATTCTGTAAAGAATGGTTACAGCATCATGTGGCATAAACTTGAAATCAAACTCATCGGTAGCTTCTTAAGTTAGAGTAATACAAAGTAGGCTCCCAGAGTTATGACGCACCCTGTATAATAAAATTACTTGTCTTCTCTGTTTGTTTGCAAGGGCATAATCCTCTCCTTTCTCCAACTTATGTTCTATCTGTATTGACGGAGACTGATCGTATACATAGTTAAAGGCTGTCGATTACCTGCTGCACTTCATTGATACTTGCTTCTTCACCCTCCACACTTCTGTTATTCTAAAATTTCATAACAAAGATGACTATTGAATTATGTATCCAGACAGATAACATTCTGACGCCGAAAGTGTGTAAATAAGTCCTCATTTGTGCCAGTCGCGCACCAAGGCCCCCCCCCCCCCTCGATGGGTCGCGAAATTTTTGGAAGTTACGTACTTGATCGTGTAGGTTTGCAAGTGACTTTCCATCTATTTTATCTTATGTATACACTCGTGTACACCTTAAAAACACCGAAATCGAACAGAAAATCTGGCAACACAATAAATAAGACAAAAGACCAGCCAGTTCTCAGTTACTGAAGGAAGAAAGTTATGTAATGCAACATAAGAGAAAACATATACCGAAGCCCTATATGACGATGTGGACATTCGATGTCAGCACCAGCAAAGGAAAAAAAGCGCTTTATCAAGAGCAGTCTATGCTTGCAAATAATTGAAATAATTTTTGAATTTTTTTAAAAATTCAAATTAGCCTTCTAAAAATTTGGAGGGAGGGGGGGAGGGCGTAGCCGGCGCCATCCCTCCTTTTTTTGAAATATCGGGGTTATAAGCTCGCAGTAATTCTGTGAAGCATCCCAAAAATTTTTTCGGAATGTGGCTAACGCCATGCACCCATTCTAAAAAATATTTTGTCGATTTCTCCTGGCCGGAAATCCTGGTTATGTCATATGACTTGTGCAACGTAGTCTCGATCGTCCTCGCCGAGGCAGAGTCGGATAGGGAACAGTTCACTATCAGCTCTCTTTCAAATAAAAAAATGCAAGTTTTGAATGAACATAAGAGGTATAATTGCAACATCCCCAGTGACCAGCAACATGGGGTTAAATCTGCATCTTATATTTGCAATGCAACCGCCTTGCTGTCACACAGAACGTCTTTGATTTTCTTCATGCTACCTGTAGAATCTTTGCACCTTTCCATCCTAAGTTAGGGCTGTATGCACGTAAATCCCCGTGGAGAGGGAGGGGATTTCAGAGGAGAAGCGTCATATCTCGCTACTTCAAATATCTGTATTCTGCTTTTTTGTCGGTGTTGTAGAGGTTCTTATACCCTAATGCTTAAGTTAATGGATGGCAGAACATTGCCATACAAGCTTTCCAATATAATTGGAATCGAACATTTTTTGAATGTTAAATATTCGAATAGACGAATGAATGAAAAAGACCTTTATTCGAATATCTGTTCATTTAACGTATCGAAATCAATAAATGCACTTTTCTGAAGATTCGACTGTTCTAGTTCAAATAAGTTATTCAAATACGATATTCGAAAGCATTTGGTTCCAACTATACTTTCCAACGTATAGGATAATCCCCAGGGAATCCTCTTGTTTTCAAAGTCGTTTATCTTTCCAGAAAGTCGACGAAAACGTCGTAACGTTGTACTGAGGATCTGCTATGGCACTGCTAACGTTTTCGACAAAGCAACTGAACGTGGAGATCGTGAGTTTTTTGATGAGCCTCAGCTCGCGAGCAGCTAGCTGTTCATCGAAGACTTCGATATCCTGAGAGTTCACTGATTTCTGCTGCAAACATGTTTAGCAGTGCCATATTATATCCTCGGCACAATTTTACAGCATTTTCATTGAGTTCACAGGGCAAATGACTGTGAAAATATGTCATATGTCCTATTTCTTGGAACCTGGATATATTGTGGTAACTGATTTCAATACTTTTCTTCTGCCGTATAGGTTGTTATAGGTGACACTTCAAAACACTAATACACGTTTAAAGCACTCGTTCATTTCGTAGTGTGTTGAAGTAACGATACCAATATTAATAATAATATATGAATATTCCCCGAGACAACATCAAAACACAAATGGTACGTAACCGAATTAATGACAAGACTTGTATCACGCGAAATTGCCTCATTTGCTCTTACGGAAAAGCTGGAGGTTGTTCGAAGTCTGGCTCGTGTATCAAATAGAATATTTAGCTTGCTCTGTCATATACATAGGTAAAAGTAGACCATTGCGCCTGCGCGTAAACGAGCATTTGGCTAGCAAAAAGCGGCAGAACGTAATGAGCTCTGTAGAAAAGCATAGATACAGTGACCGCCAAAAAGTTGCGGACAAACCGCCTTCCTTTTTTCATCGCTCATTTTCGGACGGAAAACGAAGATGAAAAAATGATTGGATTGCATGTGGTGATAGAGCTCACCAAGAGCTACAACCCACACGCTTTCTGGAAAACTTGCATTATAAAAGTTTTAAAAATCTTTTTATAAAAAAAGTCCGAAAATGGCCGCGCCACAATGTCGCGGACAATAATTCTTCGAATGCGAAAATTTTCTGTTAGGTCTTTTCTTGTAGCAAAAACAGAAGTTATCCGGACAGGTAAGCATACTATATCGTAGAACTTATCGAGGGGAATAATTGGGTAATGGTTCCTTCCAAAAAACCCAAGCTTGATTTGTTTTGCTTTTTTTCAAAAAATAACTTCTAATTCCCTGCTTCAAGCCAAATCACTTCACATGGAAATCTATTCAAGGCATAACAAGGCTGTTCGGATAAAATGGATGCCCTTTGCCATTCTCTACGCATTGGACGTGTGCAGGTGTGTTTCTTTGCTGGAAATGGCTCTTGACAGTGCGTGCACATGACCCCCACCAGCACCTCACCGCTGACTTGCACCGCTTTGCAGGCCTGTATATCGGCCGGCAGTCACTTCACAAGCCTGCAAGTAGGCTCATTAGAAAGAGCGTGACTTTCTCGACACGATGGTATGCAAAAGAGTTGGGTATAATAAACAGCAGAGATTTGGCGGATGGGGTGGTAAAGCGCAACCTTAGAGGTGAATGGAGTAAAGGCTCTTATCAACACTAGAACGGTCTTAGAGCTCCAAAATGGATCTAATACAAGAAAATTGACGGTTTTGAACTTCCAGGATGAAACTGGTGGCGAAAGAAGCTTAGCTCAACTTTGCCGGAAAAAACTTAGCCTACCAGTGAAGCTGCGCTTTGTCACCTCATCCGCCAAATCTCTGCTGTTTATTATACCCAACTCTTTTGCATATCATCGTGTCGAAGAAGTCACGCCCTTTCGAATGAGTCTACTTGCAGGCTCGTGGAGTGACTGCCGGCTGAGATACAAGCCTGCAAAGTCAGCGGTGAGATGCAGGTGGGGTCATGTACACGCACTGTCGAGAGCCATTTTCAGCAAAGAAACTCACCAATACACGTCCGATGCATAGAGGATGGCAAAGAGCATCCATTTTATCCGAACAGCCTTGTTGGAATGCCTTGAATAGATTTCCATGTGAAGTGATTTGGCTTGAAGCAGGGAATTAGAAGTTATTTTTTGAAAAAAAAGCAAAACAAAATTCAAGCTTGGGTTTTTTGGAAGGAACCATTACCCAATTATTCCCCTCGATAAGTTCTACGATATAGTATGCTTACCTGTCCGGATAACTTCTGTTTTTGCTGCAAGAAAAGACCTAACAGAAAATTTTCGCATTCGAAGAATTATTGCCCGCGACATTGTGGCGCGGCCATTTTCGGACTTTTTTTATAAAAAGATTTTTAAAACTTTTATAATGCAAGTTTTCCAGAAAGCGCAACGTGGGTTGTAGCTCTTGGTGAGCTCTATCACCACATGCAATCCAATCATTTTTTCATCTTCGTTTTCCATCCGAAAATGAGCGATGAAAAAAGGAAGGCGGCTTGTCCGCAACTTCTTGGCGGTCACTGTAGATAGATCATAGCTTTGGTGGGTACCAAGTGATTAGGGGGTAGACGAGTTGTGGAGTAAGGTTTATTCGCACGGGCGTAGATTATTCGAGAAGAGTGTGAGGTGTCCCGGTGTGGACCGGGGAGCAACCCCTAATACATTCGGAGGCTCCTTATAAACGGAGGAAGGCGGAGCTGAACCGAGCACAGGGTACAATGTACAGGAGTTGGTGCTTGAAAGGAGATGCCGCCGATTGGCTACACTCCTGGCGCACGGGTACCACTCACTCTTGAGTGATTAGATACTCAAGAGTGAGTAGCTCAACATTTAGCCTACGGGGATTCCGTAGGCTATATAAAATATAGAGTTCATGAATGGTTGATGATACAGAAATCATCAACACTCCGGGCGAGCGAGAGGAAGTGAGATCTAGTAAGATCTTAATTAGGGTAGCTGATACATGTGAAGTTGACTAGCGAATAAGTTAATACGTACGCATACAAAAAAAATGAGCTATGAAGGAGGGGTTGCAAGTAACTTAAACATACACACAAGAGTAGATTATTTAGATGAAGTGATAATAGGAAAAGATTCTGGAGTGGTCGCTGAAGCTGTTGGGCGGTTTAACGCTGCTCGTCGTCCTCGCCATTTCCTCCTTTTCCACACTGTATCGATGGTAGATGATCCATTGATGACCATATCCTTGATAGACGGCGTGTTTGCGCGATGTGTGTACTCATGATGTCTTATCTCCGGTGTATTCGTCATCCTTATCTTGGCTTCATTATTTGTGAAACGCTGCGGTAGCCATTCCATCAGATAATGGGCGCGAACATTGGAGTTCGTCGTGGAGCGTATTGTGGCCAACCAACGTTGTCTGTCTGCTCGAGCTTCAGCGAGAATGGAGGCAGTTTGCCTTGTGAAGCTGGACTGTCGGCTGGATGAAGAACATGGTTGTAGTTTTGTTCGCAACGGAATCGTTCTCCTTTGGAGTGTTCCTTCTTCCTGCTTTGCCGATGATGCCGATGATGGGCTTGTCGCCCACTCGTGTGTTCGTACTGTTGAGATAAGAGTACGATTTGTGTTTCTTCAATCTCAAGTTGTGTTGTGGAAATGTTGGGCGGTTGTTCCTGAGTGTTTCCTTCAGCGTTGATATGCAGCCGAATGTGCCAACAAAACTTGATGTAGTGGTAGTGGCGCTCGTCCCTGATATAACGTATCCAAAGATGGTTGGAGTCAGGATGAGACCCGAAGGAAGCTTATGCATTCTGTCGTTGTGGAGAGTAACAAGGTTTAGGAGGTCTTGTCCTATGATCAGATCGGGTGAGACG